TCAAAACTGCGGAGGGGTAAAATTATAAAACATGGTTAAAGTCAGCCATTTATCTGATAATTTTTATCAATATACACGCCAGTTTGATGATGAGGTATTGAAAAAACCATAAAAGAAGCAAATGGTAGATGAAATAATGGAAGCGAACCGCTACTTTTCTTGAAAGGTTGGTGGTACTTTGATTTATGAATGTTGAATACTCATCCGCAATGGTTCAAGTGGAGATAGATATATAGATAGATACTGTCCTTATTTGTCACGCACGAGATGCAATTGCAGTTGTCTATTTATAGTAAGCCGTGACACAGCATTTAAGGCAAGTTCCATGAACATATGCCACGTTGCCCCTGAACTTCCTCGTATGTAAAGGGAACCTGCCTAGCACCTGGTCTCTCTCTCTATACTCCCCCCCCCCCCAAAAAAAAACATTTTATAATTTCCTTCATCACCTCCGGTTTTCACCTGTAAATACTAAAAAAGTCTGCATCTTGGTTTTTAGGCGAGGGAGAAAACCGTCAAAAATGTTAAAATGACAATAGAAAAGCCAAATGGTTACATAATAATGCAGGCTAAAACCTCAATCCTTGATCAAATTCCTGTACATGTGGAAGCTCTGGAGGTGGAGTCCAGTAAATATTCTATTTCCAGAGCATGCTGTTGTGGCTGTCACTGTTGTTACATTGACCAATCGTGAAAAAGAATTCATGTTAAAGAAGCACAGAGATGTTTTCGAGGAAGAATCAATATAATGGTCCTCAATCCCCATAATAAAAAACAAGGAGTCATGTGATGTCCGTTAAACAGTGGACAAATCCTTGTACTGCGTAAAGCAACTCAGAAAAATCAAATGAGACAGTGAGAAATCCCTTCACTCCCATCAGGTGCATCACCTTGGAGAATCAGGGGAAAGAGTGCTCCCTGCTATCTGCTACAAAATTCAAATCTGTCATCCTTTTGTTGTTTTGTTCAGAGGAAGAAAAAAAATTGATGAAAGCCACGCTGATCTTTTCATATCTGTTAGTAATAGGTAGTAATTTACTAGAAGCATTCATCATATAGCAGGAAAATGAGCATGTCATTTAGTTTATTCTTTTGTTATTCACGGTACAGTCGAATAATTTTAAATTAGAGACAAGGCAGTTGGTTACAATTGGTTTTCCATGGTTCCTAGCAGTAGGAGTAGTACTCATCTAAATGAATTGATGGTTATTGATGATATTTAAATTTTTTCGGTGGGGTTGGGATTTTAAATAAGGGTTTAGGTTCTCGTGTGCGATGGATGGGTGTGAGACTCTTTAAACACCGACTGCCCGAAGCAATGAATGAAGAAAAGCCATTTCCCTGCACTTCGTAATTGCAATATTTACTCCAAATTTCCCCTTCCTGCATACCTCTTGGGATTTTTCCTACAATTAATTCTTTTCCTGCCCTCAATTTACACTTCTTCCACCCAATACTACTCCAATTCAATTCAATTCAATTCCATCTCTCTCCCCCCCCTTCTTCTCTCTCTTCCCAATTCTCTCCGCCTCTCTCCCACGATTTAATTAAGCTTTAATTGACCTACCTTCGTTTCCCTTATATAAAATGGCCTCCGATGTTCACATCATCCCCACAAAACACACCACATACTATTGGTGTTGCCGGAGCTTGATACTATTCTTCAAGCTTTTCCATTTTCCTTCTGAGGTCCATCCCCCCAGCCGTAGGTGCCCACCTAATCAAATTCCAAATTCTCTCCTTTCGGAATCGCATGTTTTGTTTGGTACGATTGGATTGGCTATTGGGTTTTTCGATCTGACATTTCTTGTTTTTCTTTCCTTCTCTTTTCATTTTTCCATGAAGCAGGCAAGGCACAAACCATGAGTCGCAGAAACGGAAGCGGTCCAAAGCTTGACTTGAAGCTGAACATATCCCGACCAGGGGCTGACCGGAGACTGGAGTCGCCGAGCCGATCGACCACGGCTTCGTCGTCGTCCCCGGCGAGCTCCTGCTTGTCGTCGGAGCTGAACCAAGAAGAGAACGGTCTAAGATACTCGAACAGCCCCGAAGCGACATCCATGGTGTTGGTGGGATGCCCTCGCTGTCTCATGTACGTGATGCTGTGTGAGGACGATCCAAAGTGCCCCAAGTGCAAAAGCACCGTTTTGCTTGATTTCCTCCATGACACCAACAAACCCGCCGGAAGGAGGAACTAGAATAGCATCCCGCTGTTTCCCCTTACCCAATTTCCCTTATGCTACTAGAACTGTAGGGCGTAGTATTAGCTTTTTCAATCCTAGGAATCTCTTTCTTTTTTCTCTTTTGCTCCTCTATAATACTTTCCCCTTTCAAGTGCGCTCCACTTTTATTATCTCCTACTATTTCAAGTGGTGTCAAACAGGGGATTCAGAGAAGGTGAGAGAAGAGAAGCTAACGGAGCGAAGGAGAAGGTGGAGCGTGAATAGCACTATTCTATTATGGGAATGCTGATTGCGGATATCTCTGTGACCATTTTCTGGGCTCAGCTTTTTTGCTTCGTTAGCTGCCAGCGTAATTAGGGCTTCAATGAAATATATAGTTTCCCTTCATTATCTAAATCTTATTTTGTGCCGTTGCTTTTAACCAAAAGAAAACAGCAAAAAAGACCCATGAAAGAGAAAAATTACAAATAACAAGTCATAATAATATTAGTATGAGTTTTGATAATAATACTGTGACTTTTGATAACAAGTTTTATGAACAGGTTCTTCTATATAATTTTTTAATTTTTAAAGTTTTTTTTTTCGATTTCTCCTTTAACCAAGCCTGATAGCCACCATTAAACTTAAAAATGGCAGCGCCAAAAAAGTTACGGGCGTTTAACCCCATGTCGTAACTGGTAAATCCCCTGTACTAGCAACTTAGAGTACTAGCTACGAATATGGCTTTCAACTTCAGGAGAAGGCCCACGGTGGGTAGGCTGAGCTGCTCCTTCCACGTGATTAACACGAGGCGTTCTTTGTATTGGGCATGCGTAGTAGTTGTTCATAAATTATGAATTAGTTGATTAATTTAAATAGATTAAAAAAATAGTTAAATTAATTATTTATAATAAATATGTATTGTTTTTTTAAAATATTTTTACTGATCAAATGATTGGCTAAAAGTATTATTATTACAAGAATTATTTTTTTAAAAAAAGTTAAATATAAGAGATAAGATAAATTTAAATATCATGTTTAGGATAAAAATAAAAGTCTTATTAACAAACTCTTATATTAGAGACAGGTAATATTTATTATTTAATTATCATATATTTAATAGTCGAATAATATTAATTAATTTATAATCGTTGGGGGTGTACTTCTATGTATTAATGGTTTACATCAGCAACAAGCAGTCAAGTCAACAATGACTGGTTTCCACCTCAGCATGCTAACCATCACTCTATTCTGCACACCACAGTTTAGGTCTGAATTCTGTGGCGGCAAATATAATCGGACGTCTGAGACGGAGAGTCAAAATCCTAAGGATTAGAGTTGAAAGGTTGACTTTTCTCGGAGATTGCTCCCTAACAAGTCGACACGATCTGCGGGTGTAAAGAAGTGAGAGAGCAAGAATCACTAACCAATAATGGATGGAATGGAATATTAAAAAAAAAAAAAACAGTAAAAGCAACCATATTTGCTATGGAAGTGGAAACAAGAACGAGCAAAATGGAGGATGAAAGTTGTGTGGTGAGATACGAAGGATGAGTTGGACTGGGGTAGTTTTGAGCATTTAAGAAAAAGGAGGGGATTGTAACTGAGACAGCTGAGAATAATAAGGAGAAGGTATTACGTCAGATGACAAGCTGCCAACCTTAATTTTTCTTTCTTTCCTCCTTTCCTTCACTTACCTAATTCATCTGCTCAAATGCTCACTTACGTGCCGCGGTCTTTCCTCTCGTGTTCCTTAATCCCTACTACTCCCTCCTTTTCTCTTAGAAGACATTTTTAACAAGGAATTGATGACCATTGTCATATAGTAAGTCACCGATTAGGTAAAGACATTTTTAACAAGGAATTGATGACCATTGTCATATAGTAAGTCACCAATTAGGTATGATTTTCCCCCCAAAGGAATGCTTCTATTTAAAATTTAATAGAAGTTTTTATTATGGTTGTAATTCATAGTTTTAAATATCTATAAATATGAAAATTTTGTTCGTTTTCAAACAAAATCTTTCCCGATTTTGTTTATTGTCAAACAAAACTAGTAAAGCATCATGGACTTGGTAAAAAAAAAAAAATCACGTCACAAAAAACTTCAGGTCAAATAATCTTCTAATTTTGTTTGATATTCAATATAAGCCAACTCATGATTTTTCAAGTTACATCAGCGCATAAATTATCGAGAACCAAATTAAATACGATGGTTCAACAGTGCATTAGCCTCATATTCACTCGTAATGCATCAAATATGTGAAGGTAGCGGCGGCGGCAATGCCTTTAGACATATCCAAAACATGCAGAGGTAATTGGTATAAGGTAAATCTTGCTTCACAAGCCCATTAATTTAGAAAAAATTGCAATTAGATCTCACCCAAAAAAATTAAATACAAAAAAATCCCTTAAAATCATAAAATTATTTTGAAATTCTAAAGAACCTTATTGCAATAAATTTTATTGGTTTAATTACCAAATTATCCTTTTTTTTTTAGTTTGTATTGATAACTAAAATAACAGTGATTGATAATTTAGAGTGTAAGAATTAACAACTACCATGACAGATATTAACAACTCATACATTACATTTTGTGATGTGCTAAGAAAATATATTATCAATACCTGCCTTGATAGTTATCAATCATTGCTCTTTCAATTATCAATACAAACTTAAAAAAATAATAAAGACAATTTGATAATTCAACAATAAAATTTATTGCAAGAAATTCTCCTAGGACTTCACAATAATTTCATAATTTTAATGGATTTTTTGTATTTAATTTCTTGGATGGGACCTAATTACAATTTTTCCTTTAATTTATAACTTCCTAATTACAATTGATGAAATTCACTCCACCAGAATATTATTACATGGTATAATGTTCATTTATCAAATCAAACTTTGTACAAAATTTTCAGCGAAATCTCACAAAAGTTGGATTTTCCAAAAATATTTACAGCATGTAATTAACCAATCACAACAAAATAATAAAGCTCTACTCACAATCTTTTATCAAAAAAAGACTCTGCTCACAATCTCTTCAAGATACAACAAGAAGAGGTACCCTGGCTATAAGTTTTGTGGAGCAACCATTTTTTAACTCCAACAAAATAATAAAACACATTTACCACAAAATCAACTCTCTCTTCACAGCTAATACGACCCTCCACCAAGAAGGTAATCCGCTGGACAAAACAAAAGAAGAGGCAGGTAGCATAATGTGCAATAGAATACCTGCAAACATTGTCTTAGGCTGACATTCTCTTGAAAAAAGAAGGGAAATGTGACAGGAATAAGAAATCAGAGAAAGGGCAGCAAGGATTAACAGCTCTTTCCAGGGGCAGCCATGACTTCGACATAGTTAAGGATTATACTGTGATGCTCTTAATTTTGTCAACATGCAACAATCTTTGCTATGGGTGAGACTGGATGGGTAACATTAGGGTACTGATCCCTTAATTGAGTGATTCCAGCTACCATCCATGATAGAGATGAAAGCGAGACGTAAATTTACCGCATTCATAGGATTATAATTGGCGGATTAAACAATATGTACGTAATGGCAATAATTGCTAAACTAATGCAACCAGCACTATAATGTTAACTGTGATGCGGTTAGGAAACGAAAGCTCCACTCCCTCTTTTTGAGCAACCAAAAAAGTGAATAGAACAGGCCTAAACACAAACTTTTCAATGCACTGGCATTTTCATATATGTGACGATTTTTTAAAGATACTGATCGTGAGGACTAATAGTATGCATAGCAATACCGATTGCGTTATGATTTGCATAATTACCTACCTGGCTACCCGCGCAAAATTCTTGCTAAACCCTTTTTAAGGAATTCAAATCTGAATCCAGGTAGAGCCTAACAAGAGCAAACACAAAATACTGAGATTTTACGCCGAAAAGTCCACTAAAGGGCAACGTTGGTGACAGGCAGCATTATTGTGCGTTCCCCAGGCTGAACTCTCCCCATCCACTGCTGCTTCTAATATACTTATCAACAATACCAAATTCTTGATTTTGAGCAACTCGCCTAGCATAGTTCTCAACTGAAATTGGTCCCTTCTTCAGCCTGCGGTAATAAATGATATGCCAGGGCCACAACCGAGCAGAACCAAAGAAGGCATCCACTGCTAAATTTTCTTCATCATCTTTGGGAAGCTCCAGGCCATAGTGCTTTAAAACCATGCACATTTCTTCAGAAGTTATGGTTGCTGAATGCACAGAAGCAACGTTAGCATGAGGTTCTGAGGCTGGTTTCTCAACTCCTGGAGGGATATTATCCATAACCAGTGGTCCAGGACGCTGGAAGCCCTCTGTCTGCTTCCTCTCTGAAGACAAATTCTCAGCATCTAATGTATCTTTATCAGGCAGTGCTTTGGTGAAATTCGTTCCTTTGGGAGACATACCAAAGAGAGTACCATTCTCATTATTGTCATCCACAATGTTGGCATATGATGCATCATTTCCAACGACATCACTAGTATCTTTGGATTTATCATTCTCTAATTCCAAATTTCTGTCAGACTGTTGTCCCTGTCCAACCAACTTATCCAAGGATTCAGGAGCAGCAACATCCAAAGTTGAGCCTTTTGAATTCAAATGAATTTCATTTGTAGCTGATTGTAGGGGCTGACCAAGTGATACAGACAGAGATGAGGGGGTGCTTGACCTTTTAGAATTTGGACTTCTACCCATAGAATAGTGTGATCTTGAAGATCTTAAATCTGGGGATGAGAAATGAGCACGAGAAGAAGCTGACCTTGATCTAGAACGGGTATGGGACCTTTGCAAAGACTTGGAAGATTGAGAAATTGAGTTTAAACAAGATGCAATGCGATCCGACTGCAAAGAGGGTGTGATTGACCTTCTTGCTTTTTTTCCTTGAGATCTTTTCGGAGATCCAATTCCCTTCCTGCCACGCTTTCTCCCTTCATATTCATTTCCTTGAGACTGCTCAATTGCCTTTGCTGCAGGGGAGAATTTACTTTCACGTGTCTGGTAATGTCGTGAATCAGGCAACCAACTCTCATTCTTCTGGTGCTTCGGGAATGAAGTATCCCCACCTGACTGCAGCTTCACCTGAGATCCTGATCCAAATTTCTTAGGATCATCTTCAGACCTACGTTTCCAATTTATTTTACCATCTTCCCCATCATCCCACTTGTTATATTTTCTATGGGATGAATCTTTATTAGGACAATTGCGCATTTTGTGACCTGAATCACCACATCTATAACAGGTTTGCCCATATGCTGGGTCGCGAGGACGGTTTGAAGCTTCCTCACCAATCCTTGCTCTACCCACATTTTTACGGGAGTTTTCTGCAGGAGAACCACCAGAGTAACCTAAGTTATGATTTTCATTCTCATGTTTCCTGTCATAACCATGATAAGGTTCATATTGATCAAATTCAACAGCATTTTCATTCCCATTATCGATTGATGAGTCGTGAATTGACTCACCCCATCTACCATTGTCCTCAAAGTTATGATGGGCTCCAGCTCCATCATCTAGAAAGTCTTGCCTGAAATCTTTTTCTTCCCCATCATAATCTTTAAAATCATCATGATGATATTCCCTCTCTCCACTAGGCATGTCAACAGAGTTATTCCTTGCATCATTACTAATCTTGTAATTCCTCCATCCATTTAAATTCATTTTCCTTCTTGCAAAGCCTGCCATGTCAGAATTCCTTCCTTGTTGCATTTCATAATTTCGACCACTCCTAGCAAATCTTTGAAAAGATTTGGGTTGTTTCTTTGACCATGTCAGAGTTAGCTGCTCCCCACATATATTTCTACCTTGCAGTGCTCTCAGAGCTTTCTCTGCGTCTGGAGGGAAGTCATAGACCACAAAACCATAGCCTTCTCCTTTCAGCCTAACATTACAATGTCCAAATCTACAGAAGACACGCTCAAGTTCATCTCTCCGAGTGCGTGTGGATAGATTACCAATGTGAAGAGACATCTACAAAAATTACCCACAGAAATATTAATTTATGGAAAAGGGATATTTGTGATATAAGAAAGGGCTAAGAATACAAGAATCAAGGAATTTGCTGAAGTTTCGAATATCTTTAACATGACAGAAGAGGTTTCACATTTGCTTATGTGAGAGTATGATTTGATTCTAAGGCAGATAAACCCTAAACAATCCATTTTATTGTTATCAGAAAGAATTCGAAGATCCAACGGAAATAGCTCATCCAACTAAAATCCATTTTTAATTTATTGTGTTCCCAATCTTGCTAGCTACACTCGGACAGAGAAAAAAGCTCGTCAGGTAGTGCGCCACACAACTGCATATCTTTCAGTAAGTCTGCAAAATGGTACTACAAGAATGAAATTGCAGGCCTATCATGTGTCAGCAACACTAGAAAAAAATAAACTGTTCAGTAGTCAGATGAAAAGCATGTAAGTCCATTAAATAGCCGAGTCCCCTTATCTTTTTTTTATTTAAAAAAAAAAAAAACTAACAATTCCGCCACAGTATAGTCCAATTGAACTAAGCGAAGCGTGAAACACTCTTTTACATCAACATCTAAATCATAATTGCAAGAGGAACTGACGCGTCAAAGGTGTTTCTCCGATTCTCTGCAAACTATAAGCGATGGAATAAACGATAAGCGCAGGACTAATAACAGAGGGAAGAAGAACAGAAATATTGAGCTCAGTGGAAACGATATCCCGTGCCCCTTTTGTATTGAGGCAACAAAAATGGAATCATGAGAAGCAACAGGTATTTATTTACTAACATGAGCGACTTTGCCCGAGTGAGAAATAATAACAGTTGAAAGGGAGATTTTATCAAACGAGTCAACCGAGTGAACAGAAAGAATCGTGAATACGATCAGGAACCCTAAACATGAGTCGTAAGAGGGATGAAAATGTTTGAGTCGATGTAGCGATTACCAGGTCGATCCTTCTCTCACCACTCAGCAGGAATGTTCGCCGCCCTATGTTTCTCGATGAGATGCAGAGTCCGATACTGACTTGGAATCGCCTCGAGGGAACCCTGGGCAGTGGATGTGCAGGGAAGGAGGCTCAAGGAGTGGAGCTATTGCAGGTTTGGAGTAGAGGATGAGGGCCAAAAGACGCGAGATGCAGCCGGCGGTACGCCTCGAAGAAACAAGAGCTCTAGCAAATACCATCCCCAGTCCGCACGCCAGCTCAGTCGCCTTCTCTCTAGAGTTGGTCGCAACTCGCAACTCGCAACTCGCGGGCCACGCTTTGATCCGAACTTTTTTGGGCCATAACTCGGAGTCTCTGAACCGGTCTTGTCATACCGGCAGGCAACCTTGCCCGAAAAATTTGTAAATAATGAAGTTGGACTCCTATTATAAACTCTATTATGGGTCCTAATTATAAAAATTAGTTGATTAATTTAAAAAAATTTTAAATTAGTTATTTATAATAAATAGGTACTCCTCCGGTCCTTAATATAGGACCTAATTGTTGAGTTGGTTTTGGTTCTAAATATAAGACCCATTTCTTATATTTATCAATTTTCTCTAAATTACCCCTATGGGTACTCCTCAACCACAACCAAGTAAAAGAGGGAGAGGGGATATTAAGAAAGATGATTATGGTGTTTTAGGAAAAGTGTGTCACATTTCTTATAATTAACTAACTTACCTAACTTCCTTAATCTAATCAAATTAGTTAAATGGGTTTTACATTAAGGACCGGAGGAGTATTATTTTTTCTAAGACATCATTACTAATCAAGTGTATTGGTTAGAATTACCATTGTTAGAATAACTACATTGAGAAAAAATGTATAAATATGATAGAAAAATAAATAGTGGTCTTGTATTTAGGATCAAAATAAAATAAAAATAAAATCTTATATTAAGTAATGTTTTGGTATCTGATTAGATAGGCATCGCTCAATTGCATGTGGTTGAAATATGAGCTATTTCTTGTTACTCTGTTAACTATACTGACGTTGGCGTTGACTGGAGGGTAGTCATTTATTAACAGAGTCAAAAAATAGTGTGTTGCGTGTAAGTATTGCGTCTTGCTGTCCATTTTATATTGAATCTGGATATTGAGTGATTTTTTTTTTTTCACCAGGAGGTATTGAGTGATTTGCAGCTTTATATTGATATGTTAATAATGATGTTGATAATGTTAGTATTTTGTGCCGCCCACAAAAAAATATTGATGAGTTTGCTAAATTTGAAAGGCAGGTTCTATTATGGCGGATAGTTTTTGTATTTTTGATTAATCTCTACCTCTTATGCAGAAAGAGGAGGAGGTTGATGATGAAAATTAGCCCTGCTGCTGCTGTTTTGTATTGACTTGTTGACGATTATAGTTTCACCAGAAAAAAAAAAACAAGAAGAAGCAAGTCCTAGTTTTGAACTTTGCCGACTTTAAACCAGGAAGAAAACAACACACAAGTTTTGTGGATTTTGAGCTTTATTGTTGCGGGTTCAGAAACCGCGAGTTATGGCCCGAGAGAGCCCGCGACCATATTTTTAGCAAATGGTTGCAATTAGACCATCATTTCACAGATCATTTGAAAGGAAATTCTTAAATAATTCGGGAGGGGAGGGTGGTAAAAAAACATGGCTTTAATACCTACAAAATAATTAACGAGCAAGTCAATCATCACAACCATCTCCTTAAACACATAATTAAAAGTGACAATCTAGCCATAACACAGTTACGCACCATGAACAAGTTTTAGTGCTTCCGCAGAGTTACTAAAAATTTAAACATTTTTCAACCCTGGTCCCAATAAAATCCTAATGAGTTGGATTTTGAGATTCTCAAGGCTTAAGGAGTAGCAACAAGGTCTGAACACATAACTTTGTGATTCATGAGTTACTAATTTTTCACCAATTGGATCAGTATTTATTGATATAAATTTACATTTTTATATGAAAATTAATATTGATTATCGAGTCTCAAAATGATAGTTTTTTTATTTACTATGCATAGGTATCATTTTATTAATGTCAGTTTTATTCGAGTTACTGTCATGTATGAATATTTACAGTAAGAATATTTTTCTAACAAATATTTGAACATTGATTCATCCTTAACCTTTTTTATTAAATCCAACTTCCGTTCCCGTTGGCAGCTCAACATGCTAGTTGATATTCGAGTGGGAAACAAACGGTAGACGGCACAAAAAAATGGGCCAAAGCCCAACATGGGTCGCTCGCTCAAGTCCACTCGTACTCTGAAATTCCAATTATTACCCGTTTACTCGTGCAAACCCCCATTACCCTCATTTTCTTTTATTCCCGTAATTGCCGTCGTAGCTTTTCTCCGGGCTGATTCTTCTTCGCCACAACCTCGACCTCCTCTCATATCTCTGCTCTATCCTTTAAGGAATTCTGATAGTTTGATCAGATCCCCGACATCCACTGCAGGAAAATATCTGCTAGGTATCTATGACGCTTGGCTCAGCAGGATCGAGTGTGGTGGGTGAGTTGCAGACCTAAGATCTTGTTCTAATATGCTTTTTATCCTTATCATTTTTTTCCCGTTTCTTGTTTTCTTTTAAATTATTTTCTCGTAGACGTATTCCGTTCATCACTTGTTGCCGCTGACATTAAACACTCTCATTTACTATTGTTTTCATGCTTTCTTATTTTCTCTCTGCCCTCTCCGTTTATCCATCTCATCCTTGCCCAGTTTTCCCAGTTTTCTTTTCACCTCGATCATGGAGATAACCTTTAATTTTGATTTGATAACTACAGTCTTTAGCCTGGGTTATTGTGACTGATGAATTATGCAAAAATTTTGTTTGTATTTTATGAATGCATCAATTACCAGTTCATTGCCTGGTTATATGCGATAATAATGCACAGCCATTCCTCAAGACTTTTAATATTGGACTTAATGGTTCTGGATGTTCCTCTGGCTTGCATATCTCACCCTCAGAGTATACGCGCCAGTTTGATGTTTTATACTCATCACTTGCTGAGTTCATGGCACGGCAGGGATGCGTCGAAGTAATGACCACTGCTTGGCTCTGCCCTTTCCCTAGCACCATGCGCTTGAACGTAAAATTGAAAAGGCAATCTTCTTTGTATTCTCTCGAGGCGTTAGAACACCCTCCCAACAAAAAAACACCGAAAAAGAAAGAAAGGCAATCTTGTTCAAAATCTCTTCAAATCCTGCCTTAGCCAAACATCTTGCTCGCCTTTCGTTTAGAAATGAAGACACTTGAATGGTCTTCATTCTTATTATCTTATCCATGCAAACATTTAATTAATGAAAAGGCACTGGATCACCTGGAGTATATATTTTGTCACCTCTGGTGGGATTTGCTGGGAAACAATTCTTTAATGCTATATATGCTGGGTGAGGGTAATAATCTATCATGAATATCAGAAAACGTATCTTGGAATAATTTAAGCACGCCATTGAACATTACTGGTTGTTGCTCTATAAATCATTTGGAGGGGCCTTTTTTTGTTTTTGGGTATCAAAACCTGAACAAAGGGTTGTATACTCCAATTTTCTTGCCTTCATTATCCAACATAATAACATGCGTCGAATCTTATGTTTGGCAGTGTTCGTATGTGTGAAAATCATTATGTGATTTCTAGCTACATGTTTAAGTTTGTGTTGTTGAATCCTTGCCATCTCAATGCAGTACCAAGAAATTTCAGATTGCTGGAGGAGCTGGAACGGGGAGAAAAAGGTATTGGAGATGGCACAGTGAGTTATGGAATGGATGATGGTGATGACATTTACATGCGCTCTTGGACCGGCACCATTATTGGTCCCCATAACGTAAATACTCATGTCACACCCTTATATTTATTCTTACGTGTGAGCTTGTGAAGTCTGATTCTTTTTTTCTAATTTAAACAATTTAATGTTCATGGGGTGAATGGTTCCATGCTCATTCAGAAAATCTGCATTCTAGAACTGAGGTCCTAATTTCATGGATGTGTTTTGTGTGCTTCCTCGCACATACTGTTAATGTACGCATGAGCTTAACTTTCTGATTACTTTGTCAGTTTAAAGAGTTGAGTTAGATGGACGTGTGCATAAACTTACGCATATATGTGCACACACTACATATAGTTTACAGTTGGTAAGTTTATGCACAGAAGAATCTAGGCCAATATAGCTTACGGCTGCAAAATTTCACCTCTAGCATCCATAATATTGGCTGGAAATAAATTGCAGCTGGCGAGCTTATACACTTCTATAATTATATTTTGCTTTCAATGTAAGCGCTTTTAGCTTCATAGCATGAAGTTGAAGCTGTCTTCCATGGATGGTCACTCTATTGCCTGTTGAATCTTTGGCAGTGTAGCATTTTCGCACGAGCTATGAATAAGTCTGGAGTTTGAATAGTGGATCTGCCCTTATATGAATTTGGACCTGCTATATATTTTTTGGATTGTGTGCATGTCTTTTGTTTTATTTGTAATTAAGATGCTGCTTAAAGATTCAGTATATGTTTTCCCCCTTTGTCAGACCGTACATGAAGGAAGAATTTATCAATTGAAGCTCTTCTGTGATAAAGATTACCCAGAGAAGCCCCCCAGTGTTCGGTTTCATTCGCGCATCAATATGACTTGTGTTAATCATGAAATTGGAGTGGTATCACTTTCGCTTATTTATTTTTATATGCTTTCCGCTCATATATTTTAGGCAGGCGCATGCTTTAGTGAAACTGCTATTCATTTCGCAAACTTGATGACAAATTACTTCTGCACCAAGATTTTACCAGCTGTGATTGAATCAGGTTGAACCAAAGAAATTTGGTCTTCTGGCAAACTGGCAACGAGAGTACACCATGGAGGATATACTGACCCAGCTGAAGAAGGAGATGGCAGCTCCACATAACCGGAAGCTTGTCCAGCCTCCAGAAGGTACCTACTTTTAGTCGTACAGATCAAATCGTATTGCATTTGCAATATGCAATATATAGTGTGTAATGCTTTGTTCAGAAACCTATAGGGGAATCCCCTAAAGATCTTTGTCTCACTGTGGTTCCAGAGTCGGTATCTCTTAATTTATCAACTGCGTTGAAGGGTGGTGTTTGATTTATCGGATATTATCTGTGTCAAGTGTTCAAAGTTGTAATCTCTTATCGTTGTATAAGCGCTTCTAGTCTGTCTCTTTCTTCCTTTCATGTTTGCTCGCATTCTGCATTCAAAATGAGCTGGAGCTGAATGGAAAATGATCCTAACCGACCGTTTGGACGTGTACATTGTGTTCCTTTTTTGCCCCCTGATAGTGTGTAGGAGAAAGTATGAATATGAGTTGAATTCCGTAAGTAAATGGTATGACATGACGTGCTGGTCCCTTTTACACATTGTCGGTCTCGGTCCCCCGAGCTTGGATATTCAATTTCTGAGATTGAGATCTGAGAGTTCCTTAAGGGATCTATTACGGTGATAAATTGAAGAAAGAATATACTTGTTAAAAGTCAGACGCCGGTTTTTATTCTTAGAGAAAGATTAAAATGCCTGTCAATAACATGCGGATGTCCATGTAGACGGCTCAAATGATTTTCAGACTAATTTTTATGATTAAAAATTGTTTTGCCTATAGAAGGATGTGATTTATGTATTCAGGTTTTTAGACGTAGATATTATCGGGATTTATATATTCTCTATCGATATTCCCGTATTAGTGGAAGTGGGCGCTAAAAGGAGAAAACACTGGCACGAAAAGAAGAGGTAAACAGTGCTATTTTTTAACCCTCAAATTTTTTTTTAGGTGACAACTCTTGAATTAATTTGTTGTTAAATCATGTCTGCTCCGCCTCCTCTAAACACGTCTCATGCAAAAATTGACTTGGGGTCAAGCAAATCTCAAGACTTGAACTATTTTCAGTTGACTTTCTTCATTAAAGCTCCATGGTGAGTGCTTTCTGATGAGCTATATTTAGAAATCTTAATTTCAACTAATAGACATTGGCTCTAATTGAAGGAATTTTGGCTGCTCAGGAAAAGGCCTTTGAGATAAGTATTCCTTATTAGACTTAGGGGGTGTTTGGGTACCTTAATAATCACTTTTCATAAACACTTTTCTGTAAATCGAGGTAAACTCTTTCACATATTTACTTCGTATATCGTAAAAGCACTTCTGAAACCATGATTTTGATTTTATCCAAACACTCCCTTAAAAGTACTTGAATTTTTTTTTTAGCCAAGGTAAAAAATACTTGAATCTAATTTAATGAGATAATTATAAAGTTTAACTTTTCATGTATTGTATCATGTCTCAATTTTTTGTTTTTTGATTTTCTAAATGTTGGATATAGGTAACGGGCATCCTCCAGGTTTTAAAACAAAAGAGGAAAAAAATCTAATTTTGATAAAAATACTTTTAAGGTTCAAAATATAAGATGAATTTTATTCATTTATGTTTATCAAAAAATTAGTTAAAATCAATTTAAAATAATAAATATGTAATGCGTGTATTTTTTTCCAAATATGTCGTTATTAATAATAAAAAAAAGTAAAAGATATAATAAATGAATAAAAAAATAAATAAGAGTAAAATTGAAAAAAACAAAACTTATTAAATGTTTAGAAAAAAATAATGTTATTTTATGGAAAAAAGCAAAGCCCTTCTAATAAAGTTTAACTTATATTTCGAATAGGAGGGAGTAATGATTTATCATTGAATTGAAGATAACTGTCTTTAAAATTTTTAAAATAATCATATGATATAAATACATGATAATTTTTTGCCCCCAATAAATATATGGTATTTTAATACATAATTCAGATGTAAAAAATTCTCTTTGACTTGGTTCAGTAACAGTAAGGTGCAGAATTAAAAAAAAAAAAAGGAAATATCTTTGCCCATAAAAAATTAAAGAAATTATAATATAATAATTTTTTTGATAAAAAATAATTCCTTAAGAATGATTGGTCAGACAAACTGGACGGTTAGATCACATCTAACGAATTATGAGACGGCCAATCACCAGACTGCTAGTGATCTTCTCCGTGCGGACTCTTCTGATTTCGTTATTATAATAATATTATATATATTTTTTGAATGGAAGTACTATATTTTTTTAATACACTACTAGTTCCGTTTTCGCTTGTGATTTATATGTTAGGCTTGGTAATTCTCTTGCCCTGGGCAGTATAGCACTGTTTGAGAGTTGCTTTGTTCTGGAAAGCTCCGAAGCCATGCCCCTCTTCGACTCGCCCCCGCCGCCTCAAAAAGCTGTCGTTGTGCGATCAGTATGGTCCACTAACCTAGAATCAGAGTTTCAATTGATTCGATCAATAATCGATTCCTACCCTTTGATTTCCATGGATACCGAGTTTCCGGGCGTTGTCATCCGTCCCGACGCCGGTGATCCCAATTTCAGACATCGAAACCCCACCGCCCACTATGCTGTCCTCAAAGCTAACGTTGATCGTTTGCACTTGATCCAGATCGGTCTCACTCTTTCGGACGACAATGGCAACCTTCCAACTCTGGGCACCAGTGAATTATACATCTGGGAATTTAATTTCAGAGATTTTGATGTGGCTCGTGATCCCCACGCACACGATTCCATTGAGTTGTTGAGGCGCCAGGGAATAGATTTCGAGAAGAACAGAGAGGTGGGGATCGACTCGGTACAGTTCGCTGAGTTAATGATGTCCTCAGGACTTGTGTGCAATGAAGATGTGAGCTGGGTGACATTTCACAGTGCGTATGACTTCGGGTACTTAGTCAAGGTGCTGACTCGACGGACTTTGCCTAATCAGTTAGACGATTTCCTTTGTCTTGTGAGGGTGTTTTTCGGGGGTAGGGTTTTTGATGTGAAGCACTTGATGAAGTTCTGTTCCAATCTCCATGGTGGATTGGACCGAATTTGCAAGTCCCTGAACGTGGAAAGAATTACGGGAAAAAGTCATCAGGCTGGCTCAGATAGCTTGCTGACTTTACATGCTTTTCAGAAGATCAGGGAGGTTCATTTTGGCAAGGATGATGAGCTAATCAAATATGCCGGTGTCTTATATGGTTTAGAGGTGTTTTGATATCCCATGAAATCTATTGCTTGTAGATTTCTTTTTCTCCCCTTTTTTCCTTAATATGAAGTAAAATTTGTACACATTTGGCTTATCAATGTGATTCGAAAATATTAATTCTTTTGAATCTATGAGCAATTGCGCATGCATATGACCTTTTTACTTACTCGATTACTAGTGATTTGTTTATCCTCTAATTTAGATTAGATGTAACGCTGGATTATGTGAGTTGGCATGTAAAGTGAATTAATGACGTTGACGAACAAGCAATGGATTCACTGATGGTAAGTTGATCCATGGGTTTGAGTTGTATAGGTAAAATTGTCTGAGCTTAGTTGGATGAGCGCAGTTTGCTTCTGTTGGTCTTCTGGAACATTTTGGTGTTCTTAGAACGAAGTATGTCAACATGGTGCTTCCAGTTCATGCTCATTGTTCCGCTATTAAAATGTGATAATTGTTGGGACTAAGTTCTTTGCCCCTCTCTCCTAAACTTTTTAAGAATTGTTCTTATATGATATTAATCCCAATAATCTTGATTCTTGGATGGTGGTCTATTGATTTTTTGTGTAGCTCTGATATTGCTAAACATGATAAAAAGGACTGGCTGTAGAATATGTGGTTATTCATACTTTTGAAAGATGCTATTGAGTATTGTGTTTAAGGATCCGGTAGCGAAATTTCAATCACATCTCCGACCTCTTGCTAATAAAAGGATATATCATGTTATCAGATGTTACTGCTATTCTCATTATTATGAAAGCCTGTGGCATTAGTCGCAATAGACATAGATGGCTGTGCACTTTCTATTTTCAACTGCTGTTTCATGATATTTCGAAATATCTATTGTCTAATAATCTATAACTTACTAGCTCTAATAACCATAAGTCATCTCCTGTGGTGGATTAATTGTAGCTGAATAAAGATTGGTGGTTTATTTAGTGTCTCCAATATAGGAAGATTCCTGTGCCTAGCCCAAAAAAAAGAGAGGATTGGTGGCGTATTTTCGATTACTATTGTGATAATCTGTTAATATGTTAATCTCTACAATGTCCTGACTGCTTTATGATTTTCAATTATGGTCTTGATTTCTTCTCTGTGAAATCTGGAGTATAAGACCAGTAGTCCAACTTTGGTTTCGTTGGTGAATGGGAAATGGTTTGGCTCAGGTGGTTTGGAATGTGCGAGTTGTTCGTCAGTTGAAATGCTTCATTATGTACGACAAGATAATGTTCAATGAGATGTTAAATCTCAAGGAGATTAATTAAAGACTTCTGTTTGGCACGTTATATCCATGTTCAATCTCCTATCAGTTATGAATAGCTTTTCCACATCCTGATTTTCTTCTTTACGGAGCCTGTTTAGCCATGATGCCATTTTTTCCATCTCAATTTTAGAAGTCCTATGATACAGAAGCAGTTTAGCATTTGGGCAAATCTTCCAACAAGGAATCTTAGCAGTATTATTGATGTTTAGGGTCGCTAAACTTCTATTGCAGTGATCTGACATTGCAAAGTTGTAACCTAACATGATTTTGCTTTAGTATTCCTACACAAATATCATCAGTTTCGTACTTATTAATTTTTTACGCCTTGGAATCGCTGTTTACAATGAGATTTTGTTAGGACCAATTTTACTTTGTTTTTGGTCCATCGATACTCGTGGTTATGTAGATACCAATTAAAAAGAAAAGGAAAGGCAAAAAGGAAAGGGCGAAGAAGCGAAAGCGCAGATTTCACCATTTGGTTGTAGCGATGACGGATTTGCACTGATTACAGAAAAGGCATTTGCAAGTCAGCAGGACTAGTTTGGAACGCACGTGTTCTCTTTTTCTTGTTCTTTTTTTTTTGAGACCAGTGAGAACCCATTAGTCACCACAATATTTTCAAATGATGTTGCCAGATGGCTTTACCTCTGTTCATCAATATGGAGTGGATAGTCTTGATTTTTTTTTTTTTTTTGGTTGTCGGTCTGGTCGATTGCACTCGTAATCCCTTGTAGCAACAATTTGGATGTGGTTCTTTGGGACATATTTATTATTTGCCTTCCTAATTTTAGGAGTTCAAGAGAGATTTATGTTGTCTTTTAAAATCTCGATTGAAGATCTTGGACTTGAAAAGGTATTTAGCAAGTCATGCCAGTTATTTTTGTCGACTGCTTATTTTGATTGTGTCTGGTTTATGCTCAGGTTATTCTGAAATGATTATTTTATCATGTTAAAAAAGAAGTGCAGAAGAGTATGGTTTTTCATGAACTCGTGCTGATTGTTGGTTGGTTTGTTTAGGGGACGAGCCAAAAGGGTCTTTGCTTGCTTTTTGACTGATAATTTGTGCTCCTTTATATAGTAGCGTTGTTTAGTTTTTTAGAGTTTCTCCTTGGATCGCATGTGACCTTCATTGATCTGTATAACTTAAATACTAAATCAGACATTCTTTCATTGATGTGCATCAAATATTCTTAATCAGATTTGTTCTTTCATCCTAAACTCTTTGGTGGTATAAAGCTTAGCGCCACTTTCTATCCTGACTATGAGAATGACCGCGGATAGTAAACCTGTGCCTGTATAAGAAATTTCCAGATGCGAAATTAATTTGAGCAGATTAAAAAGATTAAAGAAGTTGGTGCTTGGCATTCATTTAGAATAAACCACCTAGATTCAGGTCGGATTCCTCTGTGTGTAGTATTCTTCTAGCAATGCTAAAGCCTCAATTATTTATTATTTGTTTAAATATAGAGATAATAATCTCCAATACAATATGATGCATGGGAACATAGTGTGGGAGTCAACAAGTTAACTTGCCCAATGCCCAATAGAGAGCAACAACAGTTCTGGAAGGGTATCGTTAATAGACTAGCTCCCCCTGTATGAACTGGACAAGCCTTGTATGCCTATGTATATTAGCCTCTGAAGACTTAAGTTTAGCTTGGTTGAATGTCGTTACGAAGATATATTTCACATTGGTTTTGCAAACCTGCAAGCACGTACATGTTCCATAAGGCCATGCGTGAAAGATTACTTGTGAAAAGGGATGGTTGGATATCTTGTTTCATTGTGAGTCAAAGTGTGAAGTGGCAGTGGGGTCATAACGTAGCAGCCTTCAGGGACGTGTTGATCCAAGCAATTGGACGTGGTCCGCCTTTTGATTCCCTCTTATTGCATTTAGTTTGGCATGCTCCGTCCCGTCCTACGTCAGAACTCGGACGAGCAGCTTGGGAATATTTTGTGGTCTCAGCCTCTGGTGGAGAAGGATTGGCTTCATCCTGAGATAGTTTAGACAAGTGGATAAAGCGAAGTTTGCATCATGATGCAGGCTTCGGACCAATTGGTCCTCTCCTCTGAGGTGAACTTTTAAGGATCCAAGTGAAGTTCACACATGCTTGATCACTTCCTTCTCACGTGCCTCCGATGACCAACAAAGCTCTAGGCATAGTGGCGTTCTGGAATTTATCATTCTGCTGGCAAAGCTATGGCTTTTCTCAGGCTGCCTTCTGTATCGGAAGTTTTCTTTTTGGCCTGAGTAATATTATTCATGTCTCTGGCATTTTTTTCTTTTAATCTTTAATTTCCTGCCTTGGTTATACTTGCTCTTGCGACGACAGGCTTTGATTTATGGTGTAATCTGTTGGATCCTTTTGCTTCTGCATTTTGATGATTCGCATCACTTTTGCAAAATACATCAGTGATGTTGGTAATTGAATGAGGCGAGAATCTCAGGACTCGAAAGCTTTTGGCGGTTGTAGATAAATCATCCACTCTTTAAATTTGGTTTTATTGGAGGGTCGTTGGGAGCTAACAGTGACGAGATTTATAATCTGTGATGTCAAGGTTGGGGTTGGCCTGTTTCGGCCATAATCTCAGCAATGGGCCACCTTACTCGTCCTGGACAACGCAGGTTCGCTGAAACACTACTTAAGACTACATTAATTTCTCACTGAATTTTTTTTGTATAAACTAGAACTTTCTGCCCTGGGCATCACACATGTGTGGGTCACACATCATCTGATGTCTGATCCCATCATTGATGTTAGCCTGAAATTGACCTTAGATGACTTGCACAACTATGAGAGTGACCAAATTGCTTGAGGTCTGAAAGGCTTTCTAAAACAGTTAATGAGTGTCACCAACTGAGATAATTACATCAATATCAACCGAAATATAAAGTTTACAGTGATGCACTCAGAAATTTTAAATCATGGGAGCAGATTACTTGTACACGTGTGTTGTGGGGTATTAGTGGCAGCACGATTAAATATGGGAGGACTTTAAAGGTGTCAATTTTTGGTGCGGTTTATTGCCCACACCCGCACTTGGTGGATATATTTATGGTTGTACTGTTTATAAGATATGTGAACAGTGCAGCTCGTTTTAAGGGGTTTTGTACAGAATCTATTAATCTAATACTGTTAGTTGCATATTCATCGATTTATAGATTTTGAACAGAATCCCTTACTTTTATCGCTTGTTCTTGCAATCTTGTTTTCTGATCCCTGTATATAACTTTGAGTAGAGTTTCCTTTCACTAAAAAAATAAAAAAAAGAGAGTCCCTTATATCGTAGGGATTTTATTCTTTTTTTGAAACAAAATATAGTCTGAGAATCACAGATAGTCACTGTTGGTGTCTGCGTCTCAAGGGGTCTTAATCCGCTGTGTGGACCGCTCCGGGGGGCACGTGAAGGGTTCCAACTTAATTTGTCACACTCGAATCGTTTTTGTGTACATCAATAATTATGGTCCATTTGCCATTTTATCACCCTTCTTTTGAATCCTTCGCTTTCCCTCCAAAATTAACCTCTAGGTTTCGTTGAGGGGGGAGTTTTAATCTCTTAGACGAAATAAATTTGGAGTCACAGTGAGCAGCAGAGTTTACTGAGATTCACATTTCTCAAAACCAAGCGAGCCGTGCCACGATGGGGGCACCTTGGGAGATTCTATCCACTTCTGACAGACCTTTCAATGTTGATATTCAGCCCCTAAAATATATGGTGTGAATTCCCATAACAATTTAATTATCTAAACCCAGCAAAAATGGCCTTTTTGTCTCATTTGCCACCCTCCTGGAAACATAATATTCACATATATTTCAGTTCTTGTACGTCTTTCTTTTTATTTGTTTATTTTATTTTTTGGGTCCAGAGTCATGGCATGTGTAAGTGTAGCACCTCCCCTTCCACTCATAAGCGGTCTCCTTATATGTACATGAAAAAGAAAAAGAGACGGAACAAAACAATACCTTCTATTTCTTCTGCAATTTCGCTCTTGGGCTTATAACTTAATCGTCCATTTAAATGGCTAACTTAACTTAATTACCATGAAAGACTAAAGACCAAAGCCGTACACGAAACTCTTGGCCTTAAATGGAGTTTTAGATTGAAATCAATGGGGCGAGAGCGAGGTTTGCTCCTGTCTGTCAAAGATGAAGACAAAAAAACCAAAGTCCATCCCTCCACGGGTTGCAGTTTTGACTAATCGGGCATCTTATTATTGTCATTTTATTTTTAATGCTATGATGCTTACGTTGCCCGTTCTTCAAATATGACCCTATTTAGAGGGACATTTCATCCATAAGTAAAGGTCGATATTTCCACAAGTGGTGCACGAACGTTTGCAATAACCAGTGGGCAACCAAATCCTTAATAAATATTCAACGTTAAACTTATTATCGATTGTATCTGGTGTAACATCTTGGTGGCTGGAAATATTTTTATGGGAAGTTATTTTTAACGGTCTTCAAATTGCCTGGTTCGATCAGAAAGCGAACGAATCTTTTTTTTTTCTTCTCTTTTTCATTTTTAGTTTGCAGTCAGATTACATAATTAACCCCGTGCTTCATTTTTTAATGAACATTGCACTGTCTACACATATTAAAAAAGAACTCATAAGCATATTTGCTTGGTTCATATCTTAGAAATAAACTATAATATATTCAAACAAAACACATCTTTGTTCTGGGACTTCAATCTTCGATTGGAAAGAATATTTTAAGCTGAGCGTGAAGTTATTCAAATCTGGACGGTGAAGATTGAAGAAGATTTAAGAAACAGTAGAATATATTGCTCAAGAAATTATCCTGCACTGAACGACTGACTACATTTAATGGTAACGCTAGCACTTTATAGAAAATAATAAAGTAAAAGGCTTTCTTTCATTAATAGCCCTCTAAAACCTTTGTTCAAAAACAAAAAACCAGATTACCCCCTCTCACAATGAAAAAATAAAATAAAATAAAATCGGCCGACTTATCACGATCAGTTTGATGATAACTTGAATGCTACTATTAAGATAAAATTTCTATTAATGTCAATATATTTTACAAATTCAATAAAATTATATTCTTCTCATCCCAAACCAGACTTTTATAAATAAATAAAAACTATATAAAAGTATACTTCTTTAGAGGTAGAAATCGAAACAAAATCCAAGAAAATATTTTAAGTGATCCTAAATTGAGTTATTTTTGTTGGGTTGGCGAAATTTCCCTCGATTTTAATTGTGAGAGCCAAGACGTGCTGAAACTGAAGTTATCCCAGCCGTGCCTGCCGCTATCCAAGTCGACCCGCCTCTGCTTTAAAATCTCTCTCTCTCATCCCCCCTCCTTCCCTCCCTCTCTCTACAGCCATACCTGACTCTCCCATTAATGCTCTCTCATGGAGTATCAAAGTCACTTCGCCCCTCTCTGAACCTTCAAAAAGAAATCACTCTTTTGAACCCCACACAACCGCCCATACGCATACATGGGCAAGAAAATGAAGCTTATTCCCTTTCTTCTCAAAACCTTAGAACCAAGGTCGTCTTCTTCCTCCTGGTCTTGGCCTTCTTGTCACCATCCCAGAACCCTCTCTTTCCGAGCCTCCTCCTCCGACTTCTTCAAAACCATCAACTCCGCCTACCTCGACCTCCCCGACGACGATGCACCCGATCCAATCGAGGCCATGATTCGCGGCGGGTTGAGATCATCGGATCGTTTGTTCTTTGAGCCAGACCCAACCAGCTCCATATTAGAGGCTAAATCAGCGACAACCTCGACATACAAAGACACCCTCGTATTGTCCATGGAATCCCAGGATCCCTTCGTGGATTTTCGCAAATCAATGGAGGAGATGGTGGAGGCTCACGAAGTTAAGGACTGGGACAGTCTCGAGGAGCTCTTGTGTTGGTATCTGAGGGTCAACGCTAAGAGCAATCACGGCTATATCATGGGTGCTTTCGTTGATTTATTGCTCGCTCTTTCTTTGTCTTCTGAATCTTCTTCCCCATCTTCTGCTTCTTCTCACTCCCCCTCTTCTCCTCTCTCTTTGTATACTTCTTCTTCCCCCTCTTCTTCTTTTACTACTCCTTGTGCTTCGTGTTTGGAAGTTGAGGAAGATGTTAGAGCGAAGCAGGAGATTAAACATGAAGATGAGGCCTCCTCTTCTTCAGCTGTTTGAATATTTAATTTCAAATGCTGCGAGAGTTGTATGTACACCTTATTACAAGACTTTTTGGAATTTTGATCCAAGGCGTTCATATCTGCGGTGTGTTTTTGTTGTTCATACGGGTGAGTCACACCTATGGCGAAAATGTTGGGGCGAAATTAAATTTCGGTTTAATCTTATTCTTTTAATTCCTTAACTTATGTCAATTTGATTGTTCAACTTTCAATTTATTGTTACCGACTAACCGGTACAAATTACCAACAATTAAATGAAGTTAATGAGAGATAAGAATAATAGTTGAGTATCAGGATTAAAGATTGACACTTCATATATCCTTATCAGCATGGAAGGAAACTTTTTTGGATGGGGCTTTTGTTCTGGTAATTATTTTGAATATATGTACATTTATGTATAATCTGAAATGGGGAAAGCATAAACTTTTGTCATTCTGAGTGGTTCAAAGGCGAATAATGTCAAATCTGGAATGTTCAAGTAGACAGTCGCATCCTATTTCTCAAAACGATGGCAAAAGAGGAGGGAGGAGGGGCATGACGTTTCCGCAATCAATAAACGTACTATTTGTGAGTAGTGAAGAAACTGAAAGTATAGCGTAGAGAGATGGTTAGGTAAGCCTTTGCTTCAACGGCATTCTATTATTTATGACATATACAGAGTTCCATGGGAAGCTAACTTATTACGCAATTCTGCAACTTCATTTACTGATCTTTTTGAGACATAAAATATATGACTGTGATCCAATGCAACCCCACGTACCCTGGCAGCTGCTCTGCTAGTCAAAAGACCTCCTTTTGATGCTTTACCCGTGAGATGGCAGAGATCGTAGCCGTTCATTTTGAATTCGCCACTGTTTTTTCAAAAAAGGATGAGTACAGATCCAGCACAAAATTTTGGCTTGGTTCAGCTGAACTCACCTGCAACAAGCAGCAGTGTTGTATTATACATGTATCATGAAATAAATAAACGTATGTGTTTGTATATGGACTTGGGTTGGAAAAACATTGTCTTTATGTAGGAGTTTTTGGAAGATAATTCGTGGTTTGGAGAATCTGATGGAGTTGCCTGCTAAGATTCAGGAAGAGTACAAAATACTGTCATTTATACCTCAGTAATGTCTAGAATGATTGGACTAACTAGAGGGAGGCTGTGGATTTGAAAATTTTCATATCCTTGTGTGATTTCTTTTCTCTCTCTGTAAATTGGTAACCTGGAAGGACAGCGAAGGAGCCTACCACTACCTAATGGCACAAAAGATATTATATCTTTATCATTCATTTTCAAGTGCCAGAAAAAACAAAAGGAGTATAGAGAATGTCACTACCAGTATTGAAACTTAATGGTCCCTTGAGGAATACATTGCCAAAATCCTACCACTCGCATTCCCTATCCACTCTCTCTTAATGTGGGAAAAAAGAAGAAGAAGAAGAAAGAAAAGCATTACTATTTAATGGCCCTCGTCACTTAATGTCCATTTTTGAAACTAGATCTCGTTGTCATCCTTAGATTTCAAATATCTATTCATTTATTCTGGGCTCTATTCTGAATGCGACTCCCTACACTGAAGTCTGTGGGTCTCAGAAAATCAGATAAGTAATGTTAATTTTCAGAAGTCACGACCTAGAAAGATAGGTTGCGAGGTCTAGAAGATAATCCTTAAATACTCGTGTCTCTTTTTTCTATTGTATAGCTACCCGTACCCAAAGACGAACATGACGAGCTTTGTAATTAAATTTGAATGAACATGCCGTTCTGGGATTGACAAGAAGTCAGGAACACATGTTTTACTGAAATGAACATAAGGCGACAAAGTTTGTGAACCAATTAATTAATGAGTTAAATATGGGTGAAGGCTCATAAATCCAGACTTTGTCTGCATAGATTCCTCCCCTAAGATTCCGGTCCAGCTGCGAAGCTTCTAAACCCAGTGATTGTATATGATTGTCTAGGTCCCATACATAATCACGAATTCACGGTCAGCAATGTAAGTAGATATTAATATATAGGCTCTATTATATACATATATATATATATATATTCAATAGTAGCCGCAGCTTTAGAGTACAGGAGCTTCTATTATCCTACAGGATGCGTACACATTTTTCTACGTAACTACATATAAATATAATGGAAGGGAATCGTAGTGATTAGGTGAATTGAGGGCATTGACGCATTGGGCATGATGTGGGTGAATTAATTATGTACCAAAGTTGATGATTGAGTGCCAATAAGAGCAGCACGGTGAAAAATAAGCAAATAACACTGTGGTGTCAAAATTTATCAGAATTTAAAAAAATATCAAGTTATTAAATCTGTTTGAAAATAATTTTTTTAAAAAATTTTTATCTTTATTTAAAATCTTGAATTATATTTTGAGAGGAAACAATTGTATCAAATTTTAAATAGGAATAATTTTAAAAAAATGTAAACGTAACTCAGTTAGTAACTTATAACAAGGAATAATCATTCCTGATAAAAAGCACCTTGTGTGGGAAAATGAAACTGGTGTGTTTTATAGAGAGGGTGGAGAAGGGGATGGGGACCAATGCTTAGGATCGTCGATGTTCCTTTGTTTATTCCTTTGAAAACCTGATCCCCCAGATTTATCCTTCACCTACCTTTCGCATGCAAACTTATTCTTAATTAATGTTAAAAGCCCCTTAATTGTTATTTAATATATTAATAACTGCACAAATCGCTGGGTAGCGTGTTACACGTATGGAAGTGAAACAATACGAGATTTTAGCTTGCGGGGTGAAAAACGTAGGTCGATTCAGATGAGGATGAGAAATACGCAAGTCTCGTCACCACCACATGTGTGGGGAAGGCACAATATTCAAAATTGAAATTTCTGAAGCTGCGGGTAATGTATAACTTGCCATGAGATGGTCAGAGCGGAAAAGTTTACCCTATTGGAAGCCATGTGAGCAAACAAAAAGGCAAAAGTTATGTCCTCAGATTAGCATGTTTCTGTGTTGTTTTCTTGGCCGAAACTTTGATGGGATGGGGACCTGTGCTTCAGGTTCCAGCCTTTCCCCCTCCAGACTAAATTTTAGGTGTCATCGTACTTCATCATGTCATACTAATTTTTTCTTTGTCATCACTTGTCACTAAACGGTAAACTCTCCCACGACATGTCAATTCTCTAATCATGTAAAAGAAAAGTTCATGATTTTATGCCAGTCAATTTTCTTGTCGTCTTCTGTAACTTTTTTTCTTTCGTATGAGAATTTTATAGATCGTTTGAAAATGGAACTCACATCTCTGGATCTCTTACATGGGCTTACATGCCAGCCCAAGTAGTGAGGAAAACACCAGGCCCTCAGAAGTTGTGATTTGATATAAATTATTGAAATTAATTTGAACAGCAAATTTTGCGTGTTATATCAAACAGTATCATGTTAACCCTAAGGCTTGGAGTCATTGAGTACACTACCGGGAACTGACCTTTCTTTCATCCCAATAAGCCGTGTCGTGCTGCCTAAGAGCACGACATTAACAACATAACGTGTTGGAAGTGAGGCGTTTTGGGAGGGAAACGATGGGGCACACTCTGTTTTGTTAGTTTTGTGGACAAGTGATAAGTGTCTTGTCTGCTTTTTATCATCTTGATTTTCCTCACACTTAATCTTTTGCTACCACATATTTCTATTCTTTAAGCTGTCATGTATCGTCACTTCTTCGTAGTTGAGAAAGTGGGAAACTTGATGAAAAAGGGAGCATTCAATTCAGTCATTAAAGGGAAAGCAGTAAAAAGGACGAGCTCGTGATGCTCTCACTTCTAAGCATTTTGCATTTGCCAGAGAAGAGTAATGGAGGGTGTGGGTTCGTAATGATGAAATCTATACAATGGTTGCATATGCTATGGAAAACCAATCACTGTGCTAATCTTTAATATTGGCAGATTCTGACCACCACCATTATAGCCGTTGCCAAAACCATGTCTCTCTTCCCCTCATTTAATTTCTCCTTCATTAAAACTCTTTACACTTCAAAAGGACAACTTGTTAGTTATTACTTCTTTCTCTAATTCAGTTTTTTTCCTTTTGTAAGACAAATCTGTTCCTGAACTAGCATTCACAATTAGGAGGAAAGATGCATCTTCCAGCCGGTGCGTTTTGACTCCTCTCAACTTTAATTTTGCGTCAGTGGAGTGTTGTTTCTCCTAGTTTTTTTTCAGGAGCTACCTTTGTGAAATTAGGTCTCACCAAGTAATTTTTTCCTCTGCTTAGCCCCTCGGGGAGGAAAAAAACATAACAGAAACTAATTAATGCTTTAGTGTAGGCATCCTTGAAGACAAAGGCAAATGATTAATGTAGACTTGGCTATCTTAATTTTTGTCAAATCCAAATGCCAACTCACATATAGGATACATGAAGAAGTGGTTATATCTTTTCTTGCAGCAGGACAAGACCAACTTAAGTTTTTGAGACTTCTCTCTGTCATGAGGATAACTCATGACATGACTCTAATATGGACCAAGGCAACAACATCATGTTAATCCTGGCCTACACAAGTGCACAGATGTCCCCCACAAATTAGTTGAAGTGCCAATAGATCGTTAAATCAAATATGTCCATGTCCCTTTAATGATGCTGTGACTTGCTGTGCGTAAGTCCTCACTCCTGAGCTCCATTTCTACAACTTAAACCAAGTTACTATGATATAGAATCAACGAGATGATTGAATGGTGTTAACATATGTGCATATATTTCTGCGATTTTAACATGATATGACGCGAGTCAGCCACTTGCGATGGAACGAAAACACGTTACTCTCCACAGCAAGGATTTGAAGATGCTGAGTTGGACATAGCTTGCTTTCTTGGTTTGTTATGCATATATCTTTGTCGCAATTTGAGTTGTGGTATGGTTCTTGCTTTGAACGATGGACCTTTGTGCTTCTACTATGAAGATATCCTATCCTGTTTTAGATTTGACCATCCACTGATTGTAGACCACATTTAAGTGTTATTAATGATCGCGTATCTACATTTTAGAGTCCACTCTGCAAAATGGACAAACTGGAATCACATCTTGATGGGTTTTCTTTTATCATTTATAGATTGAACTCTCTGAAAAGTGAATACTAATTCTCAACTGTCTCCATCTATGCTTTTTCCTTTTCCTGTTCATTTTATCTGATCATCCAAGCAAAAGTTGCATCTTTTCCTAAACTCTTATCTTTCTGATCAAATCACTATTCCCACCTTTAGGACATCCACCGCCAAAGGAAAAGTTGCAACGGCCAGCACTGATCACAGTGGTGGTGATATGATAGACAGTTTTGGTAATTTTTACTACCCTCTGAAAAGTAGAATTCTGTTCAGTTCAGTTCAGTTCAGTTCAACCTTGATCGAAAGTGCTTGAAAAATGGGTTTTTAGTATAAGTTTTGTGACTGGTACCCACTCTTCTGATATTCATGTGTATCTGGTGTAGTCTTCTGGTACATGACAGCACTGTTATTACGCTTCACTATCAATCCCAACTGGTGATCTTCAGAATTTCTTAGATCACGAATCAAGATTCGATACAGGGAAATTATTTAATTACCGTGTTATGGAAGTTATAAAAAATAAATACAGAAGTCTGTGTCAGATTATAAATGCTTGCAGACCTTAATCACCCATGAAGTCTTCCTCCCTTTAAGAGGCTCATATAATTCACAGCCGAAATTAAATGCACGCAATGCAGCAATGAGTGCAGAGACAAGAGAAAATAGTAAAGGGAATAACTTCATATGCTTCAATAACAAGCAGATACTAGCTGGCAAGAAAGCTATAAAACCCAGTATCGGAAAAAGTACCAAGTCACTATCGATTTTTTATTATATTAATCTCATTCAAAAGCATTAAACCAACGGTTCCTCCTCACTCAGATCACTCTAATTATTATAATTCAAATCCCAATGCATACTCTTTTCTCACCACGGGCTCAGCACGCAAAACCTAGCAAGCATTTTTGACCAAAAGTTACCAGACTCATGGATTCGGGTCCCCTGAAGGTGCATTCTGAGGACGCCACAATCACACAAACTGGCGCAAAGTTAATGGAACTTAACGTGGCAATACTTTTCATGAACAACTAACCATTCATTTGTGGTAAAGTTCTGCTTAGCTTCTCGCAAAAACAAAAAAGTGAAAACTAACAGAGACACTTTACATTTGGGTGATCATTAGTTCACGACGTGTGTACAATACAACGTTAGCATAGCAGAAATAAGTTTGTCCGGGCACAAAGCAACGAAGCCTTGTAATGCTTATCCGTCTTGTCCACCACGTGGAGAACTCAGAAGTCACGTGACTTGCGACTGAAGTGAAATCTGGGTGAACTGGTCTTCACAGAGAAGACCCCATTCCAGATCTCAGTGAAAGCTCTGACTATAGCTCCATGGTGGTAGGGAGAATTGAGCTGAAGAAAACAATTGAGAAGCTCCCGAAGATCGTCCTTGGAGTATATCTCATTCTCCAGTATCATTTGAAGCATGGAGTGCCTAAAATCCAGATAAGGGTCGTCGGAATCCTTCTCGACCGCCACGCCTTCGCCGCCTACCCTGCCGAAAGCTCCGACTGTCCTCGACGCATTGCCGTAGTAATCAGAGTCAGAAAACTGCGAGGAGTCGACATAGGGAGAGAAAGTTGTGGTGGTGGTAGTGGTGGTGGCGGAGTCGCAGTGGCTTGAAGAAGAAAGATTGTAAAGTTTGTGTTTATGGTAAGAGGGGTTCTTGGGTTTAGGCTTTGGGTGGAATATATGAGAGAGCTTTGGTCCCCTGCAGCTGCTGCAGCCTAGTTTGACGGAGACAGAGCTCAAATGAAGCTTCTTTCTGGGGTGAGACATTGCTCTGTTTTGTTCCTGAAAGCAAGAAACACAGCGTGCGGGAAAAAGGAGCCAAGGGTAAGGGAAGAAGATTGGATGAGTTAAAGGGAATGCTATAGCTCGGGAAGAGCGAGGGGGGGAGAGTGTGTGTCAGGGTAAAAAGGGAGGGAAGGCTCTCAATTTATTTGCATGTGAGCAAAAGAGGGTCCCTTTGCTGTCCTAACCAATCTGTTTAGCTTTAATGAAGGCCGAGTGACCTGGACCGCAGATTTGTGAGATGATGAGCTATCAAAGAGGCTGGATATTAATCCCATCACATGTTTAATTTATTAGAGCTCCAGCATCCATGAAAATCAGGATTCACAAAGTAACCATGAATTTACTTTGAGAGCCCTAGTTAATATTGAGGGTTGGAGTATTGAACACGCATAAATAAGTCGGCAGGGCTGGCAAAAACACAAAAAAAAAAAAAAGAACAAATAAATAAGCTGGTTGGTCTATTCAGACATCTCGAGTCTGACTTACCATTTAACAAAAAGGCCCGCCTTAAGCATTTAATCAGGTCTGTTTACGAAAATGGGTCGGACTTGTTTACTTGAAGCCTTGTCTATTGACCTATCAAACTTACTTTTATAAATTATTTATGCACATAAAGATATATATGTTCGCATATGCAAATAATATTAAGTGGTATATTTATAGATGAATTATATATAAACAACTTTAATTCAAATTAATTTTATTAAAATTTTTGCTGAAAAAAATGCCCACATTTTGTGCTTGTATCTCGAACAAGATTGTCTCCGGTACGAAGATATTGATTTTATTAATTATTTAAAAACTTCATTTTTTATATTAATTATTTATTGCTATACTCCTCCCTTATATAAATATATATCGAGTCACGTATGTTTGGATCTATAACTGTATATCATATTTATATATAGGCAAAAATATGATTTAAATAATTTAAAAAAAACATTAATAACAAATCCCTATTAAAGATCTACGTTTCGGCATGATTTAATTTGAGTCTGACCTGCTTAGTTTTTTTTTTTTGAGCAAAAAGTCTGACCTGCTTAGTTAAAAAGTCAGGTTTAAGCTTATACTCAGGCCTTTTATACGAAAAGCCCAAGTTTATTCAACCGAAATTGACTTCGTTTGACTTATTTCCTACATACCCCAGAAAAAACAGGCATGAATTAATACTGGAATCTCGCCAATTATTTTTCCATAGGGTTAAGGTACATCTAATAACACCACCAAATATTGTCTCAGGTGATCCAGCACTTTGAAATACTTTGTAATATATCCAACATTATGAAATATTTTTTATGTACATCTAATATCTTAAAAAAAATTTTTTAGTCTTGAAGTTGGATGCACCAAAAAATATTGTTGGGCACTAGACGCATATAAAAAAATTATTTTGAGGTACTAGATGCACCAAAAAATATTTCACAGTACTAGATGCACTTAAAAAAATATTACAGAATGCTAAATGCATCACAAAATACTTTAAGATACTGGATGCACCCAATCAAATATTTCAGGGTGCTGGATGTACCTTAACCTTTTTAAGTATACTGGCTATTTATTCACTAAATCTAATGCAATACATAATAACCTCGTTTAGTTCTTATAATATACTATTCCCCTATGTTTTTTATGTCACATAAAAATTTCCAAATAATTACATTATTCATAATTTATAATTTATATATAAATACTAGTATGATTTACTGCAAATGTTATTGATATATTAATCATGTCCTCGTTATCACTCATTATGTGATAACATAATTAATGTTTAGATTAAAATATTTTATTAAATTTTTTATTATTCAAAATAGTACGCTCTTATCCAAGTACAAGTAAAAATGCTGCTGGAATCACACGAGACCGGAATTGCAGATTGACAAAGGCTGAATATAATTTGTTTTTTGCTTCAACGTCAAAATACAAATTTAAATACAAATATCATAATCTATTCATCTTATCTTAAATATAACACCTGTTTTGAGTCCAAAAAAAAATATAACACCTGTTTTATAATATAATTTAGACTATAAAATGAGTTTTATATTTAAGATCGGAGGAAGTGGAAGAATATAATGGTTTTTACCCACGCTACAATCCTCTGAAAATCATTTCAGTTACGTGAACATCTCCGGCCTTAAGCCCATCAATACCCTTTTGAATGCCAGATTTGGAAGCAACCTCGTGCACTTGGGAATCTAAACAGAGGCAATCTTACGCCTATTGCCTAATTTGTGCCATGGTTTTTTTTTTTTTTTTTCCCGGCAGCAACTTATGCCATGTTTTGAACCTTGTTTCAAACTGCAAAAACAGAGGGATGATTCCAAGTTAACCGTGGGAATTCATCCATGGAATAAATGGGCTGAAGCAAGTAGAAATAGTCATCGAACATCACTGTTACAGCCATGCAACCGAAGCAATGGAATCAATAGTATTAATAACATGAAGGATATACAGTAATGTACAGCAGGTAATAGCCATACACTACACTTTGGCAATGTGCATGCTGATGTTCGCAAGAGATACATCCCTTGAAAACAATTTAAGAAAATAGTCACGGGACAACAGGCCCAATTAGATGAAAGCTAAAGTTTTCATGCAAACACACGTGATTTTCTGATCCTCACGCGTTCCCCCTTCCCAATGTTGACCTTGTCACCTGTCACTTCTGGCATCCTCTCTAATAAGATTTAATTTCAAATTCTCATATGTAATGGAGGAACGTGAAAAGTAAATAAAGAAATAATATAATAGAATCTACGTAATAGGCAAGCCCAATATGCTAAATAATTGAGAAAACTCGGGTAGTAGAAGAAGGAAGCAGAAAAGAAAGTCGGACCTTATGTGCTTTTGCATGTCATCTGATCCTTGAGTAAGCTAGACACGTGCTGAGCCACCCATAATGAGCCCTCCTCTGTGCAACAGAAACTATGGGTGTGATTTTCTCTTTCGATTGTTAAGGTAACATCTGGAACCTGTCTGGAAAGCTGTGACAAGAAAAAAGGAAATTATGAAGTTGGCCTAAAAACAGAGAGAAGTTACTGTGGGAGTTGATCGGGTGATGCAAGTATCAGAAACACCATAACCATATGACAAGCATAGAGGCAATCAAGGATCACTTTTATTGTAGAAAGCATGAAAAACATAAATTTTCCCATCGTTTAGTTTTAGCAACATGCTTTAAGCACTTGTTCTATATCATTTCATTTACTATAAAACAGAAAGACATACTCCGTTCAAGAACTGGTTCTAAGAATCATCCCAAAAGACAGCTCTAACAATTTATCATCACAAATCTCGACATGTGTAACTCCCACGAGTTTTATAGCTTGTTAGAACAATGTTAGTCCCTCCTAGTGAATCTACTGTCAACTAGAGGCTTACAAAGGAGTCATCATTTTACTCTCAGCAAAAAGCCCCTCTTCAAAAAAGCAAAATTACAGGACTGTTCAGCCGTTGGCTGCGATTTCACTCCTGCAATCTGCAAACTAACCTCAATATGGGGAGATGGGCGCAACATTTCGAAACCATAAAAGGACGCCAATGCTACCATATAAATTGGAGTACATAATTAACCAACCCACACAATGCAAAGAGGGTGCAAGGTTCTCCTTCTCCTTCTCCTTCTCCTTCTTCTTCTCCTTCTTCTTCTTCTTCTTCTTCTTATTATTATTATTTTGGTGGTCCTAGATGATAAAATGATAACTACATCTCACCAAAGATAATGGAAACTGCAATAGTCGCATCATTTACCTCTTCATGAACTTCAAGTGGACCCCAGTGATCATCAACACCATATAAAAATGCAAGTTGAGTCTTTCTTTCTCTTATGAAGGCCCAGTCGGGTGTCTCTGAAAGCTAACACAGAATGCTCTGGTAAGCACATGATGGTCAAGTCAATGTAGTTTAGCACATAGTTGGCTACACAGAAAGCATTTAATTAGTTGTGCAAGCAACTTTCAAACAAAAATAGGGAAAGCAATTTTCAGTGATAAAAAATTGCATGCAAAAACACTTTGGAAGAACTTCTAGTAATATAAGATGTGCTATAGGCAATGAACTGATTAACTGAACCTGAAAATGAATAAATAAATGGAGATGATTGAATGGCCAAACAGCCATATACATTCCTTCCAGGAGCCTTGAGGTCACAGCCATTTTTTCTTCATTTCCTTGGTTAATTACCAGTGTTATCTTCTCTTATATGTCTCTATCTCTATATCAAGAAATCCTGGGCATCATATCAACTTACTGTACTTGCCATATGCATCTGAATGCAAGAACGTCATGTCAGTGTCACCATATCAAAGTGGTGCTCGCAGTTCTGATAGGCTCAATAGGCTGTGGGGAAAAGTTTATCAAAGGAAAGGCAAAGTGGGTCACAAAGGAGCTGGAGCCCACAAGACTTATGGGAGGAAGAAGAGAGATCCAACCAACACACAAAAAGCAATATGTTGGGGTGTGAGAAGCAAAATGGTCTGAGTCAGGGATAACAACCCTGACTGGCAGCATCAGTTTGTACACATTAGTAGGTGGTATTTTGTGGGGAGGGTATGGAATAGCTGTCATGAGAGCAGGAGAGAACCTGATCTCTCAAGAACCAGGCTGTTGGGGAGGGGAAGGTCATCACCACCTCCATGGTTCTTATTTTTCTTCACCTTTCTGTGATTGTCTCTTGCTACTCATTGGAGGAGACTAACTTGTTTATTTCAGCGAAACTAGTAGTGTTCTATCAAGTTCCCATTGTTTTTGTTTGTGATTGTATATCAAGCATAGTCAGCTCATGGCATGTTACATAAAACTAACACTCACATATTAACTAAATATCAGCAATCTCACAATTGGTCAAAATGAAATGAAAGATTTACATGATAAAAATTGAAGAGAAATAGGTCTATGTCATAACTATTGAATTTGAAACCGCAAATCTTGCAAAGAACAAGCGTTTTACCTTTTCAATTTCAGTCTCCGCCATAAAGAGGATATTCCGCATAGTATGATACTGAAAGTTGTTTCAAGTTGAAAAGAGTCAGTATAAAGGTGCAGCCATGACCCCAACGTAAAACAAACCACAAATTGGCGACAATGGAAAGGTAGATATCTGTCATGTTAAAGTTGACTTCCAATTAGCAAATTTGTTTATAGGTTTAGAATGCAACCTTGCTATTTTTTTCAACAGCAAAAACCAACCTTTGACAAGTGAGAGCATGCAGCCTCAACTGCGTTGGCGGACCAGGATGCCCCAAGAGATTTTCTGACTAAAAACTCAAAGGCCCATGTAGGCAGCAATCCTAATAATGCTATCGTGTAACTAAAAGCAGTAGATATGAATGGGGATCTGAAACTCCAAAGATTTCACTCTTAGATTTGCAAAGTAAAGTAGACAAAGTCAAAGCGATTTGGCCATAGGGCAAGAACTCACCTTGCGCACTTAAAAATATTAGTTTGCTTTCTTGACTGATGGTTTAATGTCAAAAATGGATAAAGCACAATGCAATATTTGACCTACAGAACCCAGAAGAAAGGAGAGCAGATCATTTAAGTGAAGGCAAGGTAGCACAACCTAAGCTAAATATGCATAAAGTTCCAACCACCTTTTCTGGAGACCTCTTAAAAACCTCGATGGAAATGTATGAACCAACAGAGTGTCCAACCTGGTGAAGAAATTGCTACATTAGCTATCAAAATGTTTGATTCATTCATTTAAATAAAACTTTTGTCCATTCAGCACAAATGCTTTTGGTTAACATGAATTTGCAAAAAGCATTTCATTAATTTCCTCTTGCAGGATGCTTATGCAGTTTCCCATGACAATAGCCACATACGTTTAAATCTTGAACATGAAAGTAACAACTAGCTGGTGATAATTTTGGCCAAGAACCAGGTATGGTTGCCTCGTTTACCAACATCCAGTTTTTGTCTTTTTCAAGTAAATAAGCAAAGGTTAGCCAGATAAATGCACACAAGTACTGGACTTAAGGAAATTCATTCATGATTGGGGCAAGAGCCATCTTGGGATAGATTTGACAGGACAACTCTGCCTTGAAAATATTGTTACATATAATCTTGTAGATTTGCTTTGTTCAGACCCAACAAATTATTTCCTCGTACATGTCTGAAACTTTAGTTTCTTATTACACTTTGACACTTGTTACTCCAAAAGTAAGCCACAAACCAAAGATTTGCATCCACTACAGTTAACGATTAGCATTTTCCAGAAAAAGGGAGATTTTAGCTAGCATGCGAAAATATGGTGTTTTTGTCCATGCAACTCCTACAATGATTATTCATTCGTAATACGAACATATCAAACAAGATGTTAAAAAAGTTAAAACAGCTCTGGCTGCAAAATGGAAGTAGATACAAAAGTACCCACCAGTAGAATAGGAATGCCAGCATTTTGCAATTCCTCTCTGATGAAAGCAACCTACAGAGCAAAAGAAAAGGGAAGAATACAATAACTAGGTCAGCACACAGTAAATGAGAATTGAAGAGATGCTGGAGCAAGGATGCAAATATGAAAGATTATAAATCAAAGGGATGGATGAAGAATTCAAACTAAAAACAAAGATAACAATATGAGCCGAACATTTGGAAAACATAACATGCTAATTCAGAAAATAAGTGTGGCATCGCATCTAACATGCTAGAATAAATATTATTGTCTCCAGGATAAGGTTTGGGCCTTTGGACAATAGGATGATGTAGAAGCACATGGGCACAATATCCTAACTATTTCCAGATTGTAGTTAGAGATGTTTAGGGGAAATTCAAGAGCTTGAAACTTTCAACATATTCTGATTTGTTAAATTATAATCTAAAAACTAACCTCTGATACAGTATCCCAAGTGTTACCAACTTGAAAATGAACGAATATATATGTGTATATATATATGTCAAGCTATCAAACTCATACCAGCTGACATCCTGCCAAGAGCATCGTAGCATAGAATTTACCTTGTGATTAATCTGTTCTTCTAATGAGAATAACCGTCCACGTTCCCAATCCTAGCAACAAAGCTCTGCGTTAGACACGCATGCAACCATATTGAAACAAATAAAAGTACTGCATCCTTCATGTAAACGTATTTAATATACCTTCATTGTGTGAGAGATGTGGCCGATAGCTGATGCGTCGTGAAAATTTGACCAAAAAGCATATCAGTCGCGGTTTCATGTCAAGTAACGAGATAGAAAAATTGAGTTTACTTGCCTGTGATAGATGCATTTCCTCCAAGCTGTTCATATAGAAATTCAATGAAGTCCACATAAAATGTGATAATACCTGCGGTAAATGGAAAACCCAAATGTCATCGTTGAGCAATGGTAAAACATAAGCATATTAACAAACAGTCTATACTCGATAGCACACCTGGGTTTCCAGGTATAAATAGAACATGAAAACTTGGATCCTCGGCCCGAATCTCCAATAATTCAGTGGTGTAACTAAATAAAAACATGGTGCGAAAGTCAAGAGTTAAAAATAACTGCCATATTCTTAACCCAGAAAGAAAACAATCATCATTTAATTAAATAGATATGACAAAATACCTCGATACATTGCACAATCGAAAATTGGCACGCTTCTTAGTTTTAGAAAGTAGACTTTCAGTAACCATATTGGTAGCTGCGCAGTTGGCGGTAATAATGGTCCTGAAAAGGAAAAGTTACTTGGTAGATTTACAAAATCGGACAGCTGAAAAAGCCAAAATTAAATCGTCGATATTTCGATAAATGGAATTCAGATGTCCTGTAAAAGAATCGGCAATGTAGATATGACTGAATTGAAGTTGTAACCAGTTTCATAGACATTGGAAGTGTCAGGGAAGGTCATAGAATACAGAGAATTGAGAGTACCAAGAACTGCGAAGCAGTTGAGGGATGATTCGGACAGTGGATGAAGCAAGAAAGTGAAGCATATGATAGTAATTTGGGCTGCCAGAACCCCCTTAAATAGGACGGTGTGAAAGAAGATCGTGGGAATGGAGAACGTTTTGACTTTGAGGGATAATTTATTTATAAATTGACTTATTCTCTCTTATTTAACCACCACGAAATGGAAAATTAATAAAGGGGATAAGCCGATTATTTCTCACACGTGCCTGTATCAAAGTAATCGATTCATATATAAGTTAACAACTCATGGATCAGCAAAAGCAATTTGGCGCGGGGATCATGTATGGATTTAGGTGTTAGTATAGTTATTAATATTTTGATTTTAATTTTGATGATAATAGTAATAACAACAGTTAAAATATTTACCCCGCTTTGAGATTAGGTTATCATAAATGATTAACAATTTCCGGCCTCGAGAGGCCATAGCGAAGTAGAAGCGAGTAGGTTGCATTGTTTCTACCTACCGCACAACGTGAGACCTACCCCTAAAATTTTGAATTTCTGGTGGAAAAATTGCATTTGGGGAAATTAATTTATTGGTCCGTACTGTTTATCTGTGTCTTTACCCCGGACCCTGCGCTCTCAATGTTTCGTAATTACAATTCACTCCTTGTGCTTGTCGTTGTCGGCGACCTGAATCTCGGATCACGCAAGTAATTGTACATACACTCTGTTTCGTACACGTCCTTATGATCTGCACGTCCATGCCCGTCTAGCTCACTATGATGATGCGATTTCCATGATTAATTGTTGTCCTAGTTTAAAAACAACCACGAGACATAACGTGGATGTCGTCAAGATCATGTGCAAGGCTGTATAACGTAGATGATCTGGGTAATAGTTAGTCTCTGGCGCATCAAACACAGCTCTGTTTCATTGGTTTGAAAACAGAGCATAGTGAGAACAAGCTTGCGACTGCTATTCTCGACTCTATCTTATTATGCCTTGATGTGATCTCAAACGTGCGAGGCTTACATGAGGGAGCAGAAGGATAACATCAGTGAAAAGAAAGATCATCTTCGAAGTAGAGGATGTATATTTACTTAATGTCTTAGCATTAAAAAGTGAACTGTTCCTTGATTATCAAAACGCATAGGGTTTGGATCACACCTCCTTCTGTTGGGTCCATTACGTTTCACCATCAAATGTAAATATCGATGCGTTGGTTTTAGTCAAGGAGGCCACAGAAAAAAGGTCAGAGCAGATATATTTTTCAGGATGAACAATTTATACTTACTCTGGTCGTTATACAGCGCTAAAATGATATATAAATTCAAATAAATTGACATAATAGCAACTTTTAATAAAATTTATTAATTATTAATCCTTAATATTAAATGAAAGACTGAGCATGACATCACCTCCGGCTGTGATTGGAACTGAAAGGGCCTAAGGCGAAAGAAGAAAAAGAAAATCACGTGCATCTTTTTTATAGCCGTCTTAGAATGATCAACGTGCAATCAATGCATGCCAATGTCAAATATAAAAGTTATTTTGAATTAAAGGAATGCCATCATTCAATTACATACTAAGATAATGTAAATGTAACAAGTCACCCAAGTTGATAATAAAATTCGTAGCCTATACAGTGTGGTAATTGCAAAGCAAAACGAGAACCTCAACTATCCCAGTCTCTTTAAGACAAACATTACACTACACTTTAATATATAGAGTGGTAATCACAAGATGCTAACAACTTACATCATTGAAATTGCTATCTTATAATAAATATGAGCTGCTTGATGAGATGTTTCCATTGTTCCAGAAATCACTCACCAAATCCTTTATTAACCATACTACGTATGCTCGAGAGAAAATAACTCTTCATTATTGCCAATTTACTTGTTCGATTCTATATCATGTCAAAATTTTAGATTTTAGATGTCCTAAATTCTTTCTCTTTAAACCTGTTGATGTATTAATGAAAACTACTCTGGGGCACGATCTTAAGGTCCTAATTAATCGTGACAAGAGAGTGAAGAGGGACAAAAGCGCTTGTTCGACTGTCACGAGGAACGGTCTAGGAATGGGCATTTCCTCTTCTGGTACATTTCTATTTTCCTTTATATCCTCTAATGTTCGCTGCCGATTAAGAGGGAAATGATTAGTCAAATAATAGTGATCAACTATAAACGCTGCAAAATGATGGGAAATGGCTTATTAAAGCCTAACTGAGAAACCGCAAAACCGTTTGTTTTTGAACAAGTCCCGAAAATGAGTCACTCCCAAGAGAGTTGCGTCCCAAATGAAAGAGAAGCGTCCGTGGGAAGAAATCCCGCTCCTCCTCTTTCTCTTGGTCTCTACTTAGATTTTCTATTTTTTAATTTTTGAAAAAACATTAATCAGCTTATGTCGTGATATAACTGCACCCCTATATATATTCGAACATTCAGTTACCTCTGATCTCAGGCTTCTTCTGTTGTTTCAAATAGAATGTGAGTTTATTCTTCCCAGGGAAGAAAACCCATCTATATTCTTTGTTTTAAATCTCATCTTATCAATACCTTTATCACTGGGGGCACCCCATTCCATATCGACGGTTTTGGGTGCCTCTTAATAATTCAACCAAGGGACTCATAAGTCTGTTGAGGATTTATCTTGGAATTCTCTTTGAAGAACAGGTAATGCTGATCAAATCCTTCCCAAGATTCTGTCTTTAGCAGTAATTGGTTATTCTGCAGAAGCTTTGTACTTTGATCGTTATGACCTTTGATGGGTTTGCTTCGTTTTCAGAGTTCCCCCGGTCCGTGACGTGATAGGGATTGAAAATGTTGGGTGATTTTTTAACTCGGATTCTTATGTAAGTATATTTTTTCCTCGACGATTCTGCTTCTGATGTTTGAGTCATTATGTGATTTTTATATGTTATAATTATTTGGTTCCAGTCTGCTTCTGGGGTATGCATACCCTGGATTTGAGTGCTATAAGACTGTAGAAAAGAACAGGGTCCAGATTGAGGAACTCCGCTTCTGGTGCCAATACTGGTAAGAGAAATCCACCTTCGCCTTCTTTTGAGTTCGATTTCAGTAAATGAACTTCCCTTCTATTAGCCTATTCCCTTCCCGATTCGCTGTATGATTGCTACCAAGTTTATGTCATTCAAATTTGATGATGTTCATCATGTTCAAGACGTGGGGATATAATTTGACTGAAAAAAAAAAAGGAGAGATTGAACTCCGCCTATCAAGAAAAGGATCTTTTTCCTGCAACATTCAAATGGAGGTCATTAACTTGAAAAGCAGAGTAAAGAGAGGACCGAATCATGTGCACGTGATTATGATGCTGTATTAGGCATCTTACAAAACTACAGATTTTACAGTGCGGGTATCTGAAACCACCCACCTTCAAAAGCCAAATGCGCCATTTTCTTCCAAATGGAGTTAGGAATAACAAAGATGACAGTTTCTCAAGAACATCGAGGACGATACATCCTGCTTTTGTTCTTGGTCCTATGAGTAAAATTATAACCTAGGCATCATTGATATGCAGGATCATTGTGGCTATCGTCACAGTTCTGGAAAGGTTTACAGATATATTTGTTGGATGGTATGTATTGCATTTTTGCATTCTTTTCCCCCCAGCTATTGGATTTTTAAATTTGGCTCTGTGCCGTTAATGAACATCCAACTTCATAAAGGTTACCATTGTATGGAGAGATGAAGGTGGCGTTCTTTGTCTACCTGTGGTACCCCAAAACTAAAGTAAGAGCTTGATACACTCATGGGTTTCTTTTCATTCAGAAATGGGGAGATAGCTAATACAAGTATTGTTAACTTAACTGCAGGGGACAGGATTTGTTTATCAAACAGTGCTGCGTCCTGTTGTCGCAAGACATGAAAACGAGATTGACAGGCAATTGATGGAGCTGAAAGCTCGAGGACGGGATTTGGTCGCTCATTACTGGCAAATCAGTGCAAAAATGGGGCACTCAGCATTTTTCCAGGGTCTCGAGTACTTGGCCACTCAGTCTATTAGATTGAAAGCCACTCCCCCTCCCCAGGTCTTGTCTCAATTTTTCACTTCCTTTCATTTTCTCATTAATTTGACTACCCCATTGTTTCCAATCAACCAACTTGAGCAAATAGCACCAATTTATAAGTACAACAAGCACAAGACAAAACTTTCTGCACCATCTACTTTGTTATCTATGTGTGTTGATGCAAGGAAATAAATAGATGACAGCAATGATAGCATGTTACTGAGGAGAATTTATTGCAGAAGAGCTACATGCAGGAAGGAAGTGCCCCACAGGAAATGAATTCTTCAAAGAAATCTGCCATGGAGGACAATAGTGTAGCGGGCAAGATCAAGAAGTCGCCCCCAAGTCCTCCGCCATCGCCGAGTCTGAAGCGGGTGGAGACACCAAAGTTCAGAAGTGTGAGGCTTCATCAGCAAGTGCAGGAGGATGTTATCATACTAAAGGAGGGAGAAGAAGGCTATTCCAAGTATGCACTCAACCAAGCTCGCGCAAGGCTCAGGCGCTTAAACACAGGAAGCCCGCGATCGCCACATAGTCCACAGCGTCGAGAACTGTAAGAATTGTACAGTTAATGTCAGTCCCAATAGGAGCTATGGAGCAGATTAATCTTCTCTCTCCTGCCCTCCTCATCCGAAAAGCTAAATAAATAACATTTGATTTTTTTTTGGCTTGTAAATTGTAATATGAATTCCATTGCTTGTGGCTCAAGTCCTTTTTTTCATCCTTTCTTTTTCATGATTAATTCGAGTATTCTTTGATTCGTTTGTAATTTCGAGACCATCAAAATCAGGAGGCAAGTTATAAAACTATAAAATAGGAAAATAAGAAACAGATTCCATTCTTCAACCGCAGGAAAAAAAAAAAGGCAAGGATATATGCGTCCCGCCATTAGACGAAAACGTTATAGGCTTACACGGCGCCGGAATGCCCGGAGTATCCGATAAAAAATTCGGGTAGCGCCCGGAAGTAGCCGTTGACGGACGAGGCGGAAGCAGGAGGAGAATCTCAAGGAGAGGCGGCGGAGTATATTTGGGCCGGATGAGCTTTGTGGGGAAGCAGACAGGGGCTGGAGGTAAGCCCAAGCGGCCTGCTTAACGAGGCGATTGCGAATGGATATGTGATAGGAGGAGTTGGTGGCGGCGGAGGAGGCGGTGGGGGAATTGACGGCTGCGGTGGATGAAGGAAGTACATCTCTAAGGGACGTGTAGGAAGAGGGAGACTTGATGGAGCCAAAGTCCAAGTCGAGAACTGATGGCCGCGGCGTGTGCGTGGCGGCGGCATAGGAGTCGGCTCGGGGGGGCACCACGACGGAAGTGGGTATGGAGTGCCAGCGGCGGAGAGTTGACGGTGTCTTCGGAGATGGAAGGCAGTCGTCCATGGAATGGGGCCAACAAAAAAGTGGAGGAATCAAGGTGAAGACGAGAGGAAGGAGACAGTTGCAGATTGGCTCCAAGCCTCCAACGTCTTCGGCTTTGGCAATTATTGGCTTGTCCTCCCCTCTAATCTTCGCTCCCGTCCTTTCGTTATCTCGTACGACTTTCGCGATTTATGGCATGTGTATCACACCCGCCCACCTCGTCATATTGTTTAGGAAAACATATACCAGTAAAATTTATTGCAAGTATTTTGATCATCTGAGCACTGATGGAAGAGATGAGAAGCGACACTTCCCAGTGATTGGTAATAATTGGCCTGGTTTCAAATAATATTTTGCTTTTATTAGTGTATGATGAAGCGTCAAATAACTAACAAGCAATGTGAGTGACGACGTCAGTCATCTCTATCTGTTGGATTATTCGTGAGATCAATAACATGCAAGTTGAGGATTTTTATGGAAAAGGATAGAGCAACCAAGAAAGTCATATCGTCCTTATTAAAAAAGGGATTTTTAAATCCACGAACAAAACAAACAGCCGAGTTTGAATTTCCAATTCCTTGCCTTGGTCAACTGTGGTTCACTCGTTTGCTGTTACTTCCGTAAGAACCCTGACCATGCTCGGTCTCCTTCCCTTGCTTGTTTTCTTTTCCATCTTGTTAACCTATCTTATTAATAGATATACAACGTGTGAAGCCTATCTAATTAATTGGCGAACAATTAAATTGTTATGAGAAAAACATAGTTTTTTTGAACTTGAGTGGCCCTAAAGTTTTTTTTTTAACTAACAAATTAGTCATTAGAATTATGTGCATTCTTTATTTTTGCTTTTGAAAATGACTGGTCGAGTCGAGGGGAAGCGGCCAATTTCCTTGTCTGGACACAGCTCATCAGGCTACACAATGTTTCTGTGGGGAGGTATTCTCTGCACTTCCCTTTTCTTTCAAAATACTGAATAATATTAAAAAAAATTAAAAATTTTGATCCATTCTAGTTAAAACAATTCAAAACAGCAACAGATAAAAAACAACAAAATCATTTTATTTGATATTTTACTAATAATTTTATAAAATATTAAATTTTAATTATTTTAATATGAGGTAGTAGTCGAGATAAGAGATGGAAAGTAGAATAAGTGATGAGAGAAAGAAGTAGAAAAAAATCATCCATGATCTTTCCGGAGGAAGAACAATGATGCAATTATGATACCCAAGATGTTTGGATACACTGTATGGATGGATACATTATTCCACTATTAACAGCACATCTATCTCTATCTCTATCTCTAGCTCTAACTAGACAAAATATGCAATGAAAATTTCGAAGGTGAGCAAGTACGAGAAGAATTACTTTTAAGTAACATACTCCTTGGTCCTTATGAAAAGGGTTACCACTTCAGTTCAAGTTCTCATTTTTATGTCTGTGAATACAAAGACTGTTTTAGAGAGCGTACCTCCTATTTAGACCATGACAACGCTCAATCATATATTACAGATTGTTTTTTTTTTTTATTAAAATGATTTGTATCCAGATACACTAAAAAGCAACAATGGACGTACGCCATCATATTCAATTTTTTGGGGAAAAAAACATCTAATGCTTCATTCTAGTTCCCCAACCCCCCCGGGGGCCCCCAAGCAATGCTTTATATTAGTTTTTTTTTTTTTTGCCAAAGAGATATTTTTATTACTAAAGAAAACTGAACAACAGACTAAAAAAATACAGAACAAATACTCAAAAAAACACTAAGGCTATTAACAAAATAACAGACTCAAAAAAAAAAACATATAGACCCCCCCAAAAAAAACATACTGACTAAAAAAGAAGCAAATACAAGCAAAACAAAGACTACAAAAATACAACAAAGGCTCAAACTAGACTAGCCGACATCTTTTTGTATAGCAGTAGGACTATTAATACTACGAGGAGCACAACTAGAATCTGCAACATTAGACATCTGACCAAGTGAACTTGAGGCCAAATTCTTGCAACTATTCATGTCACTTAATAAAATTTCATCCAAGAGAGGTGTTGCCGCTAAAAGCCACCCGTTGGGTATCAACTCTCTTTTGTAAGCAGCTGTCAAATGATCTGCAGCACGATTACCTTGGCGCCCAACCAAGAAAAACTTTACATCTGACCTATTCCTAATTGTTGCAAAAATCTCTTTAAAGATAGGTTTTCCATATATTATTTGTTTTATACTAACCTTTATTATTTTTATACGAGACACAAGGACTCTCCACTGGCAACAGAGTTTAATTACCCCAGGGCCAGGTACTCGCAATAAAGGGCAAGAGATATCCCTGTCAATTAAGAAGTTGTATGCACAAGAGCTGAAATTTAAATTTCTAACCATTTATTTAAGTGACAAGAACCCTACTGCTCATACTATTATTCCACTCAATATCCTCGTCCTTCAATGTCATACGGCAACTTTTAATCTCGGACATTCGCGTTGGGGAAAATACAAGACGCATTGTCTCACAGAGGAGGAAGAGCCTCAAGTTGCTAGAAATTCGAGTTCTACATAAAACGACTGGCTTCCCATTATTCCTAACTGTTAAAACTTTCAAGTGAAAATTAACATGCAATGACCGACTGTCAAAGTGGAAATTACGAATTGAAAGTGCGTAGCAGTATCGTAGCAGATTCGTTGCCGAAATTGAACGATTGTGATTGCCTTTCGTCTTCCGCTGAAACGAGATCATGCAGCTTCCAGGTCTCGGCGTTTTGTGAACTCGCATGTTAAATTTTAACCTCTCCATTCTCAATTTTTTCAAGATGGCTAGATTCGAACACCCCAGCTCCAATACCTTATATTTTAGGCACAATAACATCGCATCATCCTCAATTCTGAAAGCATCCCAGCGGAGTAGCAACAGCCCCCCTGGGGCTTGTCATAGCCCCATTAGCTACTGCCCAGTTTCTAAATATACTTAAAACTACGATTTGGATAATGAAATTTCCAGCTAATTTCAAGTGACATGATTTTATCACTCGGAAATGTATACAACCAGCATGAATAATTATTTAAGATGAAGGATCTTTTCCTGATAATGATATCCACTACACCTTTGCAACTTGGCTGCAGCCGGCGCAGCGTCTACCTAGCTGCGCTGTATTGCAGACCTTGCAAATAAGGGAATCCATGACGCCTGAGACTTCGAAGTAGGCAATCGCTGAGATGAGGTAACGAATATGGCGTCTGCTGTATTTCGCAAAACAGCAAAATTTTCAGTAACATCCCTGGAATCAACGAATCTGCCTTCAAGCTAAATTGTCCGTGAAGCATAACCTGTTACCAGTTTATTCAAAAGAGATGGTCAATGACGTTAACTGTACAGCATAGCATAAACCCCCAGCTTCACATTCAACGGCTCCAGGGATCATCCTCGATATACAAAAAGTCTACCAATTACTTTATCGAAGAAATTTCCTTTAAAGAATAAATGGCCAGGGGCCAACCATGCTTTCTGGTACAGCATGATTTTAGACGCATCAGCTTTCACCTCTGAGTATTGTTAGCTAATGTGGATGGTCCATCAGCAAACCCGGATGATGGAGTTTGTGGTCTTGAGGCGATTCCAAAATCAGAGGGAAGCATGTCTACCCCATTCCAATCAACACTGGCTGTTAAATTGGAGTTAAGGAATTAATATAACACAAGAGGGGAGAAAAAGGTACAAGGGGAGAACTTGGAGAAAGGGCAAGTGGAAATAGAAGGCAATAAAATATTTGAAATGACGGATACAATCTGTTCTCCACATATCTGTAATGCTAACGTCAGCATCTGATAGTAGCCAGTAATCTGCATCATTCTGCAAGCGTAAAACAAAAACGCCACGTGGCATTAGATATAAAGGTAAAGTAATGAGATTGTTGAGTTCTTGAACTGCGCCTTGGCAGACCCTTTGCAGATTGATAACAACTTTTCCAATTGCTTCAGAGCTACTACAAAGTGAACATGATAAACTTACATCAACGTCAGAAGGAACAATTTTCATCATGCCCCCACCGAACTCTGGTGAAGCATTTAGATCAGAGCATGTATGAGATGGCAGTTGAGTTTGAGATTCAAGACCCTTTCCATTGTGTTCAAGAGGAGTCATTTCTGTCGTTAGGTGTTCATTGGACCCTGAACTTGAAGCAAGTGGGAGGCTTGCAGGGGGCTCAACACCATTCATCTCTTCAAATTTCTCCTCAAATTGACTAGAAAATAATTCAGAAGTTCGACAATGAAATAGTAGTGGCATGAATACAGTAAATATACAACTACCACAAAATACTTATAACCAGACTGACAAAATCAAGTAACGTGATTACCGGACAAACTGGGAGGGGGGGGATGACAAAAAGAAATGCTGGCCAAGGCAAGGATACCTGACAAGGTAGACATCAATGGGACCCATTGTACTTCTAAGAATTATTCTGTATCTCCTCTGTGGATAGTCAACGGCCTGATGGATATAGAAGCAACAACCTCCATCATGCATCAGAAACATCAATTTCAAAACATCAAGAAACTTCCATCAAAGTAAATGCCCAAAACTTACTTCCTCAGGATCAGGGACTTCCAAGGTGGTTCCATGTGGGGCTTTAATTGCTATTAGAGTTTCATTCTGCTTAGAGAAATGCATAAAGACCACCAGTTAAAAGTGAGCACTTGCAATAATCAGCATGAAAAGGAGTATAGCAATTGTCATGATAGGCACAATCATGTACATTGCACACCCACCTGCAAGCCGGGTAGGCCCTTAATATCTTCTTCAGTTACAAAAAGCCACCTAAATGAAAAATCCACAAGAATTATTATGATAACATTTATTTTTTCCTTCATAAAGAGAAAATTAATCTCATATCTTGACGGGAAGAAAATACTTCTGGTTTTTTTCATCTTCACTCAAATTTCTCAGCCTTTCCTGCATTCCCCTACCAAAATCCAAAGCAACAGTATTAGCCAGCAGTTTTGAAACAGCAAATTTTTTTCTCTAACTCAAAACAACTATAAAACCTTATTTGATCATCTAATCTTTGCTCCTCCAAAGACAGTGTCTCCACGTCTGCCTGCAACACATCAGAAGACCCACAGGGCACAGCATAATTAACGATATGCCCTGCCACACTACAAGGTGCTAAGCCTCTATTTTCCTTTATATTTCTGTATCATAAATTATGATAAGCATAGCACTAGAACATCATACAACTACTTATTGAGTGTTGTCTCTAGACATGATAGATTGAAACATAGAGACATGTCCAATGCCATATCGACAACACTGATCATTTGACAACAATTGGTTCCTTGTGCGTCAGTATATTATTCACAACAAAACACACACGCCACGTACCTTTAGCATAGATACATCACCATCAACCTCTCCAGACGTAGAAGATTTGATTCCCCTGCAATAGGTATTCCACAAGAATTGACATGAAAATGGTGCCCTAACACCGATAAAAAAATGTAAAGCTAAAAACAAGAGAAACTGCATATAGCAGAATTTCAAATTGCGTCACAGAATTACTTCCAATGTATCCTGTTTTTAAGCTTTTTCTCAATGAGGCCAATTCCTTCCAAAACATTGGTTATGTCATATATCCTCCTCTTTTGCACCTGTGCAACAAGAAAAATTTAAATCCATATGTTATGGACATGGAAATATTTAGCAGACATATCAGCCATTGTTTTTAGACAAGCACCTCCAAAGTTTCAGCCGCTTTGTTTAGGTCAAGATCACCATCCTCTGCATGCTTGAGCAAATTGATGAACTTTTTAGTCAACAAACCTATGAAGTTATGGCATAATTTTGTTATTCTTTTCTCTTGAAAGTAGTAACCTTCATAGCTACATGAGGCAGAAATCAAGAGACATAGAAGTAATAAAAAATGCTTCCAAAATTACCCAAGGAACTGTCATAGCGACAGCTGCCAGCAGGAGTTAGAGAAGGGGAACCTGTATATCAATACAAAATTAAAAAACACCGATTAAACTCAAATATCCAAGCCTCGTATAGATAAAGTGCTGCAGGAAAGAAGCAATTTTTCACCACCATCACAAGTTGCACATAAGTTGTTTCCAAAAATTTGTCAAACATGGTAGAGAACCTAGTTCAAGCATTCAACATGAAAGACAATGGGATAATTTTCTCACCAGCATTTGAGATGGGGGTCTGAGGACCAGATTTGCCTTCTTTGGCAACCTTGGACTTATTGTATGTCCTTCCTCCTTTTGCAGACACAGGTGTTTTGAGGGGACTAATCGTTACATTAGTAGCTGGGCTCTTACTCCATTCCTGGGACTCTCCATTGCTGTCATTCACTGTGCTCTTCCGCTTCATGTACTGGCATCATCAGCAGATTCTAGAACTTATAATATGAGGGACAAAAGACGACTAAAGATATGAACAAAAACAAATATATATAGGCCTGATGAAGGCAAGATAACATGTAGTAATGATAGCAATAACAAAAATAAACTAATATGAAAGTGCAAGCACCAATGCTTAACCAATTATCCGCCTAACATCTAACTAATTCGTAATTAAGCACACGTTAACTGCGTAGAATTGTCATCAACAAACTATAAAAAGTAAAACAAGCACAAAAGATAAGGACACAACATCCGAGGGTGTTAATTTTATTCTTGCACAATTAGCACCCTTTCTTGAACATGTACATTGAAATCACCACCAAACACCCAACAATCTCATAATATTTTGTACAGCTGGATTCAAGTTGGAAGACTTAAAGAGCTTTACTAAAACTTGGTCATCGGAGCAAAAGGCCAAATAACAGTTCAGAATATTATTCGAGCTTGGGAAATTGTATTGTGCCTTCAAGAGCAAAAGAAAGGTAAACTCTGCAGATCAAACTTTGAAAGCTACAACAACTGGAGTTCCGGAACAAAAGTCTGCCTCTACATCAAAAGCAACCCGAAAAGAAGCTATATTGCCTCATTATCCTCTATTCCCCACCTAGTTATTGAACAAGAGAGAGCTAACAAAGCAAATAAAATTCAAAGTTGACCTAAAAATTGGAGGTGGAAAATGGGACAGCCGCGTGATCTTAGCTTCTGCAAAACAACATCTAACATCGAAGGGGTTCGGGAAACGGAAAATAAGCTTTATTGTTCCGCGGGATTAAAAAAGTCAAAACCACAGGTCCGCTCAAATAATATAAATCGGGAGCATGAGCAAACTAATCCTGCTAATTCAGCAAATATAGAGAGGGAAAAGGAAATAAGAAACGAAAAATAAGCGGTGCAAAAAAAATTGCAAGCCACCATTATTAAACGTAAACCCAAATCATCAGAGGATATAACAATGACTAACCGGAGATCGAACAACAACAGCTTCATGTTCTTGATCGGCAGCCCTTCTAGAGTTGGGAGACGAAAAGCTGTGATAATCATCCGGAGGAACAAATGGCGGTTTAGTCGACGCGAAGACCAGGTGACGCTTCAGTGGCGGCCGATTCTGAGAAGTCTCAGGTGGTGGCGATGCCTGACGGTTTGAAGCTCCAACGCCTCCAGACATGGAGCATTAAACTGATCGTACAGCTGTCAATCCTAAATCACTGGAGCTTTGTCTTAGAAGCTGACTGGGAACATCAGTAAATGTAAACGAGAACTAAAAGGTAATGAGAATGACAATAGGATTTGAGAATTTTGAGAGAGGAAGTGAGAGGAAATGGTTGGTTTTAGAGAGAGAGGGAGGGAAGGGTTTGGAGGAAAGTAGAGAGAGTTAGGGCCGAAGGTGAGAAGAGCAGAAAACGAGGGAAGGAGGGAATTTTGTTTCGGATAGATGTGGAGGGAACGCCACTTCGGAAAGTCTACACGAACTTATTTGCGCTTTGACCTCTGCATTTTAATATTATTATAAAGAGAGCCCCAAAATTCTATATCCTTTTCCTTTGCCTCTGTTCTGTTGTGTTCCAGCTCGCAGGGCAAAATGCGATCCAATGAAAGAAAATATAATGGAAAATAATCTTAGGAATAAAAACTACATATTATCTGTCATATAGAGTACTTGTATAAAAATATAAAATGTTATTAATAATAAATAATTTAATAAATGTATTCGTTGGCAAAAAAATATAATAAATGTATTCATACTTTGATGCGTTTTTTCAAAAAATCTAATGAGATTATGAATTTTTCAGAATATGTTGCTGTATAAATTAACGGGAGAGTAAAGGGGGAGGGGGGTTTTAACTTATTTTATTTTATCAATTTATATATCTTTTTTTAAAAAAAATCTAAGAAAAAACCACAGATACTGATCACGTATTCACTATCAATATATCGCCATTGTCGGACATTTAATATTTTCTTGTTATAGCAGTACTTAGGGCGTGTTTGGTAAAACCAAAACCAAGGTTTCAGAATCACTTTTCCGCAAAACGAGATAACCTCCTCCATATATTTACTTCGTAATCCGTAAAAGCACTTCTGAAACCATGGTTTGGTTTCTATCCAAACACCCCATTAGTTGGCAAAAAATATTTTTTCTTGTTTTGCTTATTACTATTTTGCGTGGATAGCATTTTAGTTATTACTCCCTCCGTTCCTTATTATAAGAGACATTTGATGCTTATGGCATGTTCTCATATATAAGAGACACTTAAAAGTTGTCTCTATTTTTTGTATCGATTTCTTGTTTTATCCCTATTTATTTTGTTTCCAACTCATACTCTTTCTCCCTCCCACTTCTCTTTTTTTTAATACTCCTCCGGTCCTAATTATAAGACCCAATTGACTTATTTGAGGAGATTAAGAAAGTAAGTTAAGTTGGTTATTTATAATAAATAAGTATTGTCATTCCTAAAATATCCTTGCTAATTAAGTATATTGGCTAAAACTATCATTATTAGAAGGATTATCTTGGAAAAAATGCATAAATATAAGAGACAAAATGAATTGGGGTCTTATAATTAGGACCAAATAAAAAGTCAAATGGGGTCTTATAATAAGGACCGGAGGAGTAATTTAATTGTTCTCTCTCATACTCTCTCCTTATTAATGGGGGCATTGTTGAAAAAAACATTATACTTTTTACATATTAATTGTCTTCAACTAATGTTAATTATTTTTTTTATCAATGTAATTTGGTTATTTGTCTCTTATAATAAGGAACAGAGGGAGTATTTTCTAATTCTAATTTCATTATATTCTAATACAGGCCCCTCCCCATCAGGCCTTCCTTTCCATTAAAACAAGCTCATTGAAGAAAAAGGGCCTTCAGGCCCCAAAAAAAAATGGCAAGAAGAACAAAAACAGCTTCACGCTTGCCAAATGGCCTCATCCTCCTCGTTTCTGCGACGTCTGCTCTTATCTCGTCAAACCATCACCTTCTCTCACCCCCTGCTCCTTCCAACATGTTTATGCACTGCCCTGCCTTCATCTCTTTCCCTCAACTCTGCCTCTCGATGTGGGCCCACCTTCATTGTCAAGGCCTCTGTGCGAACTTTCTCCACGCTTTGTCATTTATTTTACTTCACCTTTCTGGTTGCTTTGAAGTGAATGTTAAAGTTGCCTTCTTGTGCTGCTTTATATCTTACTTGTGTTCAGGCATTATTCTTATCCTTACGCTATGGCACGAGAACTTCTGGAATAGTATGTTCCCTGCATTTGTTGGAGTAGTTCTAACATGCTGTCTGCCTGTTGGTTTTAGTTGCTGCATATTGTCCGATAATTATGATTGTTTTTCTCTCTCATATTAAACCGAAGCATCCAAGGCTGTTAGCTCTTACTGTGGACAAGTTCATGGTCAAATGTCTGAACTGCATTAATAGTTGTAGGCTTAGGATGCTTGATTTTCATAGAGGGGACTTGTGTTTAAATGTTGCGTTGAGATGCAACTTATGAGCAATTAGGCCAAGAATTCTCCACTGGACTTTGGTACTCTGGACCATTAACCATAGTCAAAGTTTGTTGCATGGGGAATTGAAGCATCAAGGACTGTAAATTATGTGCTCTCCTTTTTATTTTGCTATGAAGTCCTTTTAATTCGTCTATTGCAGTGATTGCAGTCTCCAAGTGTAAGGCCGAAAATAATATATAGGACCCTAAATTTTCCATGGATTGAACTTTGAACTTTGAAGTACATATTCTCATGCTTCTCATTTTACAGAGCGAACTTCCACTAGTGGGAAATTAAGCTCTAGATTTTGAAGCAGTGGCTGTTTCCGATCAGGAGTTTATCAAGGGTGACGATGAAGAGTCCTTTCTTTCTAAATCAGTAGCAAGATATATTGTTCTAACGATCGCAATGCTAGGAACATTTAGAATGTCATTCAAATCTCATGCACGTTGGTGTATAAGGAACGTCTACTAAGTACTGCTACCAGCCACATTCAGACTCTCAGCTGTTGAAATGGTAATCTGACTGTTTCTTTATTACTTAGTACTTGGTGAAAAATGCCATTAATAGAGATTCTGCTTGACTAAAGCTCTTTCACTTCAGGTCAAACTCTCTGAATTCATTGGGAAGAAATATGTTATTCTCTTTTTCCCCCCGCTTAACTCCACATTTGTTTGTCCAACAGGTTTGCTGAACATTTCAGTAAACTAAAATGGCATCCGAGATAACTATGGATCATTAAATGCTGTGTGGAAGCCTGGAGAGAAATCCATGAAACCAGACCCCAAACTTAGCAAAGAGTACTTTGTAGCAGTGTGGGCTTGATATCAGTTAGAGAGTAGTAACTGCTCATCTGTGTCTGTCAGTGGAGTGCGATTGTCTAGGAGCAGCTAATTGGCATCAAAGTCGTATCAAAATTGTTCCAACCCTGCGCGTAATAAGTTGATCCTTGCGCTTTGAATGGTGAGACTGCGATTCGAGTTCACCAAGTTTATGTAATCCGAGAGGGGTCATTCTATTAATATGAGCCTTTTTTTTTTGATAAAATATTAATATGAACCTCCTCCGTCCACGCATGTCATACAAATAATTTGAAGATAATGTCTCGTGAGGTGAGAATATTGGGTTGAGCCCATGGTCCAACCCGTTTAATCTGCATAAAAAAATGGGCCTGACACAAAAAAAGTGAATTGGGTTATCTAAAATACAACCCACTTTAAGGTGAGCTTATTTAACCTGCCCATAACTTAAAAAATGAGCTTGCCCTTAAAAAGACAAAAGATGAATACTGACTTAAAAAGATGTTTGGATGAAATCAAAATCATAATTTTAAAAGTATTTTTATGATATATGAAGTAAATATATGGAGAGATTTATCTCGATTTATAAAAAAATGATTTTTAAAAGCACTTCTAGTGTTACCCAAACACTCTCTAAATCTGTAAATCACTAACCAAGCCGTAAAGTCCCTAATTCAAAACCTAAGTCTCGGCCTTTCTCACATTAAATTATTGAACAAAACTGAAGTGTTTTTCGTGAAAGCTGAGGTGAATAATAACGCTGATATTTATGGATTTCGGATTATACTTTGTTCAAATCCAGCCAAACGAAAAGAAACCTGTTCTCAGGGCATTCGAAATGATATGAGCAAAGCAGAGAGTGAAGTCTCCTCTTCTCGTTTGCATCAATTCCATCATCCCCCGTTATGTATTTCCTGTAAGCATGTTCCAGCTTAACCTCTCTCTGTTTTTTTTTTTTTGGTTCTCTCTTCTTTTTGGCCCCAGCAATTCGATCATATGGTATATGATCGGTATTAAATACTAACGGGGGCAAACATAATTTCAGAGTAAGTGCCTTAAATGGACCCAACACAAAGGGTGGTAATAAGAAAAGTGTTTCTAAAATGCCAACGTCAACAGTCGGGTTGGTTAATCATTCCAGGACTCATTGGCATTTTGACTCGATAGAAGAATATGTTTTGCTTGCGTTTTGCTCTATGGCTTCATCTCTGATCGGCAATGATTTGTCTGTTAGTCATGTTTAGAAATGATCGTTTGTTTGGTACGTTAGAAATCATTATTCAGAAAATAGAACTCAGATATGCCCTTGTCCTCCCAATTTGTCGGATGGCATTCGAGTGATACAACTACTTATCGTTTCTCCGGAGCCCTTCTTTTATATATCCATATATATAAATATATATATATAAAATCGTTGCATAAGGAGACATCGATGAGCTAGCTGTTCACATTCCATCATTTGGGTCTCGAGTTTATTTTTATATGTCCTGGAATCTTTTAGGCAGATTGGATTAGATCTGATCTTAGCTTGGGGATCAACCTATAAAACGGAAATTATATATTCAACTGTGTAATGATTAAGTTTTTAATTCCTTTTTCAACGTTGCCATCAAGTACCGGATCAATTTATTTGCCCCCAAACCAAACTAATTCATCTCCAGCCACACAGTCAAAGATATGGCCATTGATTCTGCGCAAATTAAAAAATACGTCAAAAAAAATAAAAGAAGTGCGTGATAACTAATAAGTAGTTTATTAGTATCATATTCACACAACTTAAACAGAAGGCAATATTCAAGCAATTTTCTCCAACAAATGTGGCAACGTAACAGTGACATGCTACGTGCTGGACAGACTAACATCTGGTCTGCGCAAATATACCTGAATATAGCGTCATATAAATTATACTGTAGTTGATACGAATCTAATCCACAAGAATTAATCTGACATAGAAAATTTGATTAAAAGTTTATGAAATGAAAATTCAACTATTGTGTTTAAAGAGTTTGGAGGAAGAATTGAGCTAGAACAAACAAAAGGGTGGCAATCATTCTTTAGGCGGTAGACTTAGATATTGCTTGCATGGGAGCTGCCCAACACGATAGACCCCACCACTGCCAGAAACTAGTTTTTAATAACCCCTGGTTCAGTTTTATACTTTTCATTCACGTGACAGACTTGCAAACATTAGCATAAGAACTCCTCCTCGTCAATTGTTGCTCCATGATTCCTCCGAGAATACCGCTTGATTCTCAATATATACGTTGGCTTTGTATATGTACTAACTTTATTGACGATGGATATTCTCGATCGAAGAAGATACCCATACCTTACTCCAGATTTACAATTCACCAGGGCGCGCTTTATCAGGCGCTATCTAATAAGGATTATTCTTTTTCAAGTCAGTACATTTGATTTGTGTAAGGGGGAGGATTTGATTGGATACGAATCGGATCATTCACATTTTGATACCAAGAAATGTAACGTAGGTTTCACGAATATTCAGATTTTGATTTTGCATTTGATGAACATCTTTCTGTATACTGCTAGATAGGGACATTACATTAGCCAAGTGTCCTATCTTTCTAAGAAACCCCAAAAAAAAAAATCCTGTGTTGACTTCATCTACGGTTCCTATAAGGCCGTATATAATTCTTATGTACCAAAAAGAACCAAAAACCCCAAAAACCATCCCTTCATCATCTTCAGCCTTGAAACGGATCACATCGCAACCTCTGATTCTGCCACGAAATTCAGTCTATCTTCCCACACCAACTTGGACACCACCTCATCTTGCTCAGGTACATGTTCCTGCTTTCCCAGAGAAAAAAGAAACCCCACTAGATTAGCAACTCGTATTACATGAGGGGAAAAAAGGATCAATCAACTAATTTGATAGCTTTATATGCAGAAATGTGTCGTCTTTGTGAACCACACAATAAAGCATATAATTATAAGGGTGAGTACCTCGAGCTCTTTGACCAATTCTTTGGCAGTGGGTGCTGACACGATAATGCGACGTGCCGTAGGGGAGATAAAGCCTTCATCAACGGCCTGATCAATGAACGACAACAAGGTATTGTAGTATCCATCCACGTTCAATAGCCCCACCTGTACCCACGCAAAAGCACTTTGTTACAAATACAATTATTATATGCCCCAGCACACTTGCATTGACCAGCAACTTTTTTGTGTTTTGCGTTCTTGTTTATCATTTTTATATGAACGAATGATTAGGATTGGCCACCATATCTTTCTCCCGCTCAAACGGAAAACCTCCAAAAAATGTAACGTGACAACATTTAACTACACAAAAATCTGGCCCTATCTTTATAATGTGAATCTGAATTTAATACCCCACATGGATTGGTTCTGTTTTGAAGCTTCCAGCGGGTTGCATAAATTCATTCAATACCCATGTTAACATTTTTCCTTGTCTGATGTGTGTGAACAGTCAACTTGCTACCTAAGCCAGACGCGTATCAAGTAACATGACAACCGAAACGTATATTAAGAACATTATTAATGTTAATTATTAATTATGTAAACATGGGGACAATATTTCATGTGGGAGCTATATATAGTTGATATAAGCAAGTGTTGTCACAATAAGCAAAGGCAAGGAGAGAAAAAAGGAATTTGACTTTGGAATTTTTTTTCCCCTTTATTAATGTTTATATCAATCAGAAGCTTGATTCCAAGAGATCTCTCTAGAGCAAATGAAGATCGTTTAATTATATTTTTATTTCCTTAATCATTTCCCATCTTTCGGCATCTTTCTATAGGGCATCTCTCTGTGCCCCTTTCTCTGAACATGTTATTTTATTTGACAATATATTGGATTTTGTCGTTTGAGAATACTTTCAGGTCAGGGAAATTTGGAACTAACGTCACCTAAACCAGCTATATGCCTTGACTACCGCAATTGAAAAACAATAATTGACAACTGGGGATAGTTTCTTACGGGTTTGCGGTGGATTCCAAGCTGAGCCCAAGTAATTACTTCCAGCAATTCCTCAAGAGTTCCATAGCCACCTATAGTTAAAAAAAAAAAAAAAAGTTACACAGATTTAGTGATAATAAAATAACAAGTACTCTTCCTGCAACATCTACCGGCTGGCTGCAGTGAGATTGTCCACAGAAGGTTTTGATCCCTACCTGGGAGGGCAATGAAGGCATCTGCTTGACGAGCCATCTCAGCTTTTCTCTGATGCATATCAGATACGGTTCTTACTTCTCCGATAGGGTCACCAGTTATCTGCAACAAACATGAATCTCATGTATCACCAAACACTTAAAAAATTAGACGGCGTTGAAAATGGTTATTAAATTTATTTTAAGTTCTGTACCTCTCTCGGCATGAGTGTTTTTGGGATAACCCTGCACATCAAAACCCATACGGACGTCAGACCCAATGCAAAAGAAACAGATAATGTTTACGCGGAAGATTATGTTATTATGATGTCTTCCACAGTTTTATCTCTTCCTTTTCCCATAAATCTTTAACTTAAATTAGTGCTGCTTGGCATGAGGAGAGTAGGACATTTGGAAAAAGAATAGATAGCCTTCCAAGAGCACGTAAAGAGAAAAGGTAATGAGGGTCCAGTTAGCAAACACTGCACATAGGAAAGCTTAAAAAGTTACGTCCCTTTCTGGAAGAGCCAAAAGGCAATCAACTTTATCTTATAGAGCAAAGCTGCTCTAAAAGCTTCTTACCAACAATAAAGGTCACACACTTTTGTTTTCCTTTTTTTTTAAATCTCAGCAATTTCACAGAGACAAAGATTAACCGGAAGCAATTTTTATTATACTATCTATAATGCTTCTTCTCTCGCTTAAAAAAGTGATGGAAAACAGATAAGAAATACTTCCCGTTGGATTAACACACGCATGGGTCACTGTGTACATGAGAACATGACTCGTTTCTTTTAAAACTACACACAGCCTTAGCAGCAAAAGTGGCCTAGGTTATCACTCTCCATATAAGCACACACGGAGGGGGAGGGGGGAGAGAGAGACAAACCCTAGAACATGGCGCCCACCATCATGAACTGCCTGCGAAACGAGACCCATCAACCCCACGCTTCCACCTCCGTAGACCAGATCAATCCTTCGCTCCACCTTCAAAAAAACATCGAAAAAGCAAAACAAAGAGACGCGTGTCACTACTCATCATGAATACCAAACCAAACACACTACTGCGGCATCCCCAGAATATTAAATTAACAAGCTCCAGTGGACAATGATCTATAGTAATTCATTAGGCTAGACAGTGAAAACAACAACGTTATATTTTAAAAATAAAGAGCATGGAATGGCAGCCAGTGAGAGCGATGAACTAACTTGGGTGCAATCCCATAGGGAAGAATCATGGAGGTTCGGTCAAGGAAGCTTGTGGGGAATGGCAAATCAAGGAACACGCTTAATAGAGTAATCATACCAAGGTTGCACGTTTGGTTCCCTAGAAAACAGCAGAATTTTTTTTCTCTCTTTTTTTAAAAAGATTGGAATTTGGGAGGGCTAAAATAATAAGATTGGGCTAAACACAGAGAGATCATGCAAGAAGGCTGCTCAACTGACAGGCGGGTTACAGCTAGCAATCGCTCTGTCTCTCTCTCATGCCAAACTGAAACCCTAAACCATCTCCCCATATTCCGCAACAATCATAAGCCCACGTTGAGAAGTTGTTCAGAGGAAGAAACTACCAGCCGCGCAGTTCTGAGTTCTGAAGGAGAAACAGGATAACGCGGACGAAAGAGAAAGACGTAACTAGCAAGAGATTATATGAAGTGGGAGTAAGTCAGAAAAAATTTGGAAGGCCGGCGAAGAGATTTTGTAATGCAGAATATACATTGGACGGACCTGAATGATTATTGAAGAAGCAAGACAGGGATGAAAGCGAAGATAATGCAAACGATGACTCTCGGTAGGTTCGGATTCAAGCGGTGCTTCATTCTAAGAAAGATTTAAAAATCTTGGACATATCGAGAGGAGAGGAAGAAGAACTGATCGGTAGAAGCGAGAGAATAAGCAGATGGGATGATCTTTCTTGTCTCGTAATGGAACTCAGCGTTGAGAGGATGATGAAGAACAAAGGAACTAACGAGAAAGAAGTTGAAAGATAGATTGATAGAAGGGTTTACCAGTTCCTTGCCAAGTTGAACAGCAGCTTCCTGGTAGCTAGCTTTCTTGCCAGAACTGCTGCCACAGAAAACACAGATACGCTTGAACCTGGATTTTGTCTCTTCCATGGGGTCCGTGATCGTCTCCGCAGGAAGGATACTGGCAGTTGCAGGAGGAGGAAAATGAAGGATGGTTGAAAATGAGAACAAAGTGACTATTTGTTAATTAATGCGTACATAGATGCATATGTGGGTATGGGTGTGTGTACATATATACCCGTCCTTGTCGGCTTGGAGATAAAAAATAAAAAAAAATTGAAATCGCAATAAAAAAGGATAGGCTGAAAGGGATGGATTTCTTTTTCGACATTAAAGCTTGCCGTGTTTTTAATTATCATAAGCGCGTGGAGGGTCAATACATCCCTCACAAGAACATTATAAAATTGCTGAGTTATAGTATGGTAATAGTATATTCCCAGTTAATTTAGTTTTGATATGTACAATGATTGAAAAACCAATCAATTAGTTTATAATTAATTAGCATCTATTTCCTCGTTTATTTTCAAAAAATAGTTATTGGTGCCATCTTTAACATATACGTAGCTCTTTTTTTTTTTTGGAACCATATACGTAGATCTTATAATAAATTAAAAAATGCATTGTCAATAATATGTGAATTTTATTATTTATATTAATATATCAAATATAATATTCATAAATTAATCGATTTATTTCACAAGCTCTGCACAATGATATGACCACCCCTGTTTTTCGTTTTCCCCAGCGGCATGATCACCCCTGTTCTTTTTTCTTTTCGGCCAACGGCACCTCTTTTTCTTTTTCTTTTTTTTTGGGCCATCACCAACGCCTCTGTTCCCATCTTCTGAATTTGGACCACAGGCGAATATCAGTATAGTTATGAATATCAGTATTAATCTATAACAAGGTAAAAAATAAATACCCTAACAAACTGTGCCCGTGTTGTGCATAAACTGTGAATAGCGCACGGTCCATTTCCCACATTTTATAATTTTATGAGATTCGCAGTTAATCATAAAATTATCTCTCATGCATATTTACATGTGATATAAAACTGATGGGATATGAAAAGAAAAAATTAGAATTTTATTATATTTCTAGGGTATTTGAATTATCTAGAATATTTAAATTATTTAGATTTTTAGGATTTATTTAGATTTCTCAGTATATTTTATTGTTACGATTAGTTATTGTTATTGTTATTTTCAGTTTTATTATTATTTTAGTATAAGTAACTTTATATTTCACATTAGATATCAGACTCGATTATTGAATGATATCACAATTATCATTTTCTCTCAATTTGTTTTCTTTTCTCCGCGCTCTATCTCCCCTTTCTTGTTCTTTCTGATTTCTTTTCTTCCCTTTTTTTTTTCTTTTCCTGTTTTATATCAGAAATTCAATAAAAATAACATAAAATATTACTCGGTTAGAACTTTACTGAAAAACTCTGGTTAGAGATAAATGGAGAGGGGGCAAGAAATTCCAATAAATTTAAATAAAAATAGATAAACATGATTGTAAAATTTTTAATAAATATGTAAGATAACAGAGTTAACAAAATTAATTAAAAAAATTTAACCCTACATTTTTTATTATATTTAAATCGATTTAACCGAAGTTTTCTCTATTTCTCCGTTACCTTGCAATCAAAAATTTCATTCCATCACACGCCATGGGATCCAAAATCGACCGTCCAGTCTTTCAATTCAACGGACTTTGACGTTTGAAGGCAGGGAATAGTGATTACTCACCTTATAATTAATTTTGTTGATAAAAAAATAAAATCGATCGAAGGTTTCCATCTTCTCCTCATTAAAAGAAGGTGCGCATGGTTCTTCTATCTTTCTTTCTGAGATACTTTCTTTTTACAGAGAACGAACCAGGGCCCCGTCATCGGACAGACCAAACTAACGCCGTGTTTGATTGAACGGGAACACATAATTTATAAAGCTAAGGTGGATCCAACATCCCAAGTATTTTTTTAAATACATTAAACATTCTAAAATATTTTATGATATATTTAGTATCTCAAAATATTTTTAAATATTTTTAATATTTTGAAGTATTTTTTTTGTCTTTGTCCTGAATGTACCAAAAAATATGTTTAGGTGCTAGGGGCACTTAAAAGATATTTTAAAATATTTTGAGATACTAAATATATCACAAAATATTTAGTATCTCAAAATATCTCAAAAATACTTAAAATGCTGGACATACCTAAAAAAATATCTCAAAATACTTGATGTATCATAAAATATTTTAAAATATTAAATACGTTTAAAAAAATATTTTAAGATGTTAAATGTATTTTAATTCTGATTCTTGTATAAAGAAAACCTTAATCGTGATTTAAATTCAAAGTTTTAAAAATCATGATCAATACGTCAACTTGTTTGTGTAATAAATAACAGTACAGTTAGCTGAGTGCACTCTTTACGTCTCGTCATGATTTATATTAATACTATCAGTCTTTCACTGTCACTTGTCCCATATTCAAAGTTCAAAAGGCATCCTGAGTCAACTAAAAAACAGTCCGAAGAGCACAGGTCCACAATGTAATTTTGCGCTATTTAAGCTCTGCTCAGGTTATTTTATACAGTTTTACTGGTCAGTTTGCAACACTCGCTGCGATATTGATTATTGAATAATATTTATTCTAGCTATTCAGGTTTTCCGGCAGCGTTGGTTGTCCAAGTTACAATATAATTTAAGCAAAAATATTTGTAGCCTCCTGACGCGGGAGCAAATTATCGATCTGTGCTGCACATGATGCAGTATGGCAACATCCGACACCAAGGGATGTAAAATTAACTTTATATATTAAAAGTGGGTAATGGAAAATTATCATCCATGAAAAATACCAAGCACTAATAAATTCCTGTTACCGATAAATTAGATAGGGGCGAAAAAACTGTTACGTACTGATATCTTTAAATTTCAAACTAAATAAGAGTAGATTGTTCGGCTTTAAATATGACAATATTATTCTATTCACTGAAATTGCCAGCGAATTAAAATTTATTCGCAACAGCATTGTTGACATAAGGAGCAGCAGCGTTTGTTTCGGGCATATAACTTGAAATTTAAAGACGTTGTATTACAAAGTCACACTTACGCCTCGCACTTTTCATTAAATTAAATGTTAAGAAAAATTCATGGAGCTGTCTACAAAAATATCATATGACTGCACCACAACAAGGGATTCAAATCTGCCTAATAATTTATAGCAACTAATATGCGCTTGTGTATTTATAAATGGATCTGCATGTGAACATGGATGCCAAGCGAGGATGCACTAAACCGTGTTAGATATTCTAGGCCCTGAATTTTTTATTACCATAATTATAAACAAGTGCGTGTACAAAGACCACCACGAGGGTCACGATGAAAAACCAATCACTATATACTCCCCCGTCCATAGTATAAATTGCCGCTAGAGGTTCTTGACCCAAAAAAAAAAAAACATTGCTTCTACATAAACGATTATATCCAAAATATAAGAGTCTCTGAGAGTAATCAATATTTATTTATCAATTTTATTTCTGTAATTAATGCTTAAATGTAACATGAGCAGACTTGAAAAAATCAATTTTAGATGGATTTAACAAGCCTTTTTTTTTTTTATAAATTAGTTAGACTGAGGTATATTGTGGATGGAATGAAGTGTATATAATTACATATAAAGCTAATAAAAAATATAGATATCATGAAAGCTAAATCCTCGTTCATATAATAAAACACGAACGATATGCCAGTGGCAGCAGACTACTTTCAGATTTCGAGTATTCGCGTTCCCAGTCCAGACCCGATTTGATGCTCGGCCGAGCTAACCTTCCGGCTGGGTCAACTGGTCAACAATGGATCGGATTTGACCTGCTGCTGAAATTTTTGCCAAAAAACAACCTCACTGGTTACCAATAAAATATAATATAATGACCTCGATCTAAAATACAATTCTTCAAAAAGCAACACTAAATTCGGGAGCAATGCTCTTTTTTGAGCTCATGCAATAACGAGCTAGAAAAAACAAAATTCTGAAATAAAATTAAAATATTGAAGTCTCAGCTCTCAATAAGTCGACTACGCAAGACATTAATAAACGCAATCCAATAAAATCAACAATATTCTTAAGCTAACAAAAGCCACGGAAATCCAAAAACATATATATACACAGGCACGTCGGGTCAGAACGATAAGTGCCTTATCCGCCGCTAACCTATCCTGATATGCTGACCCAACTTGATGTGAATGTTGTACCAATGAGCAGGATTGGACATATTGAGTTGAATTAAATGAATATCCCATAATTAAAAAACTATTTAGATAAAATCCAAACTATAATTTTAAAAATATTTTTTCTATAATAAATATATAGGGGAGTTTATCACGTTTTATGAAAAAATTATTTTTTAGAAGCACTTTTAAACATTACCAAACACCTCCTAAATCTCTTCATAATGTACGAATGGGAAATTTAGTTTTTTTTTTGGTTTAATACTGATCATTGATCGAATGATAGGATAAGCAGCATGCAGGTCACGTGTGAACCCCGTTGCTTGGGCTATCGCAAAGCATCCTGTTCAGACCTGTGTTCAAAAAAATGAAGAAAAGCATACGCCAATCTGTTTAAAAGATATGGATGAATGCTTAAATAGCATGTTGCAGGAATGTGCATATATATAAACAACCATTCATTCGCTGGAACTTAATCCCGCACCAACCTTAATTTGAACGTGACTTGACTTCGACTAGTATCACGTTCACGACATCATTCTAAAGTTTAGAATTTTTTTTTTTGGGGGGGGATGGAATAGCCACGAAGACTTTTCGCTTTAATTATATTCAAGCAAATAAATAAATATTATATTTATTTTAAAGAATAATAATACAAAAACACCACGGCTTTTTTTTCGGACAAAAACACCAAAGGTGAAGAAATACAAGTAAATACAAAAACACTTTTCTTCTTCCCCTGCCCCTCTTTATCTCTTTTTCCCCAAACAGTTTTAAATTAGAATGTGGATATATCCCATCCTGCATGAATTTCAGAGGCGCGTCATTTTTTGAAAAATTATGAATGGTATGTTGTTTTACAGATTTGATTTGCATAGACATATACATGCACTGGGCATGATGGGCATGGATCTTTCTTTAAATCT